CAAGAACGTGATAAATAAAAGTTGTTTGTCCTTGAGCTGACGACCCGAATTTAAGTAAATTGACCCAAGCACCCCCAAACGAATTTAAGTGAATTGACCCAAGCCCCCCCAAAGGACTTGTAGTAAATTGACCCAAGCCCCCCCCAACATCCGCAGATCCCACCGCAAATCTCGCCACCCAGATCCCATAGTCGCATAGCCCTCCCAGACCCACCTCCCAAATTGAGCTTCAAATCCAGGCCCAAAGAAGCCCCACACTAGATTTCAAAATGGCAAATCAGGCTCCCTAAGTAAGCCCCAAAAGAAGCCCCGACAAGCATTAAATTAAGCTTCAAAAATTAGCACCGCGAGGCGCAAGGCCCCGAAATCTGGCTCCAACTTCGGCACCAGGCTGCCCCAAATTAGGCAAATTTTCGGCTCCTCAAATCTGGCTCCAACTCAGGCACCTGGAAGCACCTAATCTGGCTCCAAAATCAATCCCGAGCTGAGGCCCCCAATCAAATCTGGTTTGGAGAAGCACCAAATCAGGTTCCGAAGTAGTCCATCAAAGCGGGCTATGCTCCCAAGTTCACAACACCGCCACGAATCCCGCCTGCCATGCCAGCACCCACAGCGCCACCCACCTCCCTCTGCACCCTTCTTCTCGCTGCTTACGAGTAAACTAATGCAACTAATGCTTGCACTGTCCTACAGGCGCCCTAAAGTGCAAACTCACGCGGCCAGAGGCAACCGGCCCCCAGGTAAATGCCCCGGGTATGTGAAATGCAACTCACGCACGCAAAAGGCAGCCCGCGAAAACGAATCCCCAATTTGACTCCTTCGGCAGGCCCGACAGCACATAAAAAGGCAGCGAGCTCTAGTGCAGAATATCGAAACACGGGGCTCTGCGTTTCGGACCAGACAAGGCAACGCCAGTGGGGCTGCGATTGATTGGCGATGACTCTGCCAGAGAAAAGCACATACCGAGCACTACATGGCGATACCCCCGCAAGACGCCCATGTCATAAAGATAGCTATTGTGTGGTTTTGGCAACCCTGAACCCTAAGTGGAAGCGAGAGCCTGCTTCGAGTCGCTAGCAGCAGCTGCTTCGTTTGGCAATGTCCGGCTGATTTCGTTTTGCCAATCTTGCGGCGATCATGGAAGAAGGCTGTAAAAAAGGATGAAGAGGCTCTTCACTCGCCTACTCCTCCGCTGGCGCTTCAGGCTTGCTTTGAGCTGGGCTGCCGACCCTGTCTCCAAAGCCCTCGCAAAGCCTGGAATTGTCCAAGCCAGACATAGGGCGATGCGCCGAGCTGCGCTGTAAACAGCGGTCGGCTTACACTCAAGCCTCAAATCACGCCCCCGGGGCAAGGCCCGCCGGATGCACGGCGCAGCTTCCTGGCTGAGGTGCAGCTCTCTGCGAGGAAGCCAGATCTTGCCCAGCTCATATCAAAAAGCTGCGCCCTTGAAAGGCCCAGCCCCCAATTCAAAATCAGGTTCCAGTCGCAAAACTCCCCGCCTGCGCCCCATCAGCTCAGCCTATCCCCAGCCCAGTTCCCAAAGGAAGACCCAGGCTCCAAATCCCAACCCAGCCCAGCCTCCCGGCTCCCCAACTGACAAACCAAGTTCAATAAAGAAACCCTGGCAAAACTTTCCGTCAAAACTTGTTGGCACCCAAACCCTTAACAATTTCTGTGAAACCCTAAACCCCTAAACCCTAAATCTCTAAACCCTAAATCGCTAAACCCAAAATCCCTAAACCCTAAATCCCCAAACCCTAAATCCCTAAACCCTAAATCCCTAAACCCTAAATCCCTAAACCCTGAATCCCTAAACCCGAAATCATATCTCTAAACCCTACATCCCTAAACCCTAGATCCCTAAACTAACCCAAAACCCTGAGGTCCGGACAGATCTTCCTCGAGGCAGGGCCATTCCTTCAGGGTCACCACGTTCTGGAGAGCCGGAGCCACAGCCATTAGGACGATTCCTGTTCAGGCTTTAAGGTTCAGGATGCAGATTTTCTTTGGAAATTTGTGTTTTGCGTCTGTGCGTGTTGCTTTTTCCGTAGGAGGTAAGCTAGCACCATAGTTCGCCCCGTTTTAAGAACCGCCCAGCCGACCAACTCAACCCATAAACTCAACAAGCCGCTGACATTCACATAATTTAGGAGTAATCTGCCCCATAAACTCAACACGCCAACCCTATACACATACTTTAGGAATAATCTATCCCATAAACTCAACGAGCCACCCACATACACACACTCTAGTAATAATCTATCCCATAAACTCAAGCAACCAACCAACACCGAACCTCAACACCGAGCCTCAACCAATCCCGATAGAATACTACATAACTTTATGTAATATAATATCCCAGTAGAACGGGGCGAACACCCACGTAGAGTTTTAGTAAATTAAGAAATATATGGTTAAACCTAACTAATATGTGCACACTTTTTGGTTGAGACTTGTCTGTGTAATCAACCTTACGCTCCTGTCGACGATTTTTGGTATGAAATTCAGCCGGTGTTTGGATACCATGTAATACCGCACTTACATATCTTGTATGTGGGCTAGATCTATGAAACGCCTAACTGCAATGTACAACATACTTCAACATATAGGTTGTTGTTAGCCAGTTAGTATTCATGTAACATGGCAACTATGTATCTGGACTGTTGGCTACCATGGCATGAATGCTGACTGAGTTCCTATGTACGAGTACCCAATGTGGGAGAAAGCTTGAAAAAGTGTTCAGTGCAGCCATACTAACTAGATAGCGAGTCATACAAGACACAATACCAAACCCTAAAACAGTCGGCCCTTCGCCTCTAACCCTTTAAGCTCTAACTTTTGAACATTAACCCTATAAGCCTATAAGTTAGGTGTGCTAAGGATTAAGGATGTCGAATTCATGCGAGCACCTTTGCCTAGGTTTGCCAGGAAACATATGACAAATTCCTTAAGTTATGGGCTTTGATTAAGTACCCGAAAGACCCCCGAAACACTAAACCCTACACCCTAAACCGTACACCCTGCACCTTAAACCCGTAACAGTTAACCCGGAGCCCAAAGCCCGGCTCCACAGCAACCTCGCTCTTCCTTCTGAAGGCAAGATCAAGCCGGACCCAGCTCAAGGATCAGGGGACTTGGTACATGTCACTATGAGACTTCGTGTAAAGGTTTTGTGAGGATATCTGTCAGGATCTAGGCAGAGAGCAAGGCAGAGAGGGTTATGCTGCTAGACTATTGTAAGAGTTTCTATACTTCAGGGATGCAGGAACTTGATAGCAATCAGGGCTTTAGGCCATCGCGTAAGTTCCGAAGAACCGAATCTCGAAGCCTTCGACCCTGAAAACCCCAAACACTAAACACCTAAACTCCGAAACCGCGAACCCGGAAACCCAGACATTAAAACCTTTGGCTTTAAAGAGAGCACACCTCAAGCCTCAATGCACGGCGCGCCTCCGGCCCCCTCGTCGTGACAGGCCTGGATCATTGCGAAGACCGTGTGCCGATAGTGTGAGTACCAGGCCATCTGGCGAACATCCAAGTCCCAGGCCTTGTCTGCATAAGGATAGAATTAGGGCTTCAGAGATGTTAAGGTGTTTAGTGTTTCGGGCAGTTTGGCACTTGGGCTTCGGGTGCGGGATTTAGGTCGGGATAGGGTGTAGATGTCGGGTTTAGGGTCCCACACTCCAACAGCAAGTGACCTTCCTAAAAGACTGGCGAATAGCAACAGTAACACCACTCGTAATGTTTAAAACAGCAACCACGACAAGCCTATCTACCAGCGTGAACCATCACACTCGTTCCAACTGCGTTTGCTGTACGCAGTCGATAACAGCAGTAGCAGCAGTCCTCGTAGCTGTAGCAGAAGCAGGAGTAGCAGTGGCAAGAGCGTAGCAGTAGTAGCCCCAGTAGTTTTGCTAGCCGACATAGCATAAGCAGGAGTAGTAGTAATAATAGCAGTAGTAGTAGTAGTAGTAGTAGTAGTTGTTGTTGTTGTTGTAGCAGTACTAGCAGTAGTGATAGTAGTAGTAGTAGTAGTAGTAGTAGTAGTCGTCGTCGTCGTCGTCGTAGTCGTAGTCGTAGTCGTAGTAGTAGTAGTAGTAGTAGTAGTAGTAGTAGTAGTCGTAGTCGTAGTCGTAGTAGTAGTAGTAGTAGTAGTAGTAGCAGCAGAAGTAGTAGCAGTAGTAGTAGTAGTAGTAGTAGCAGGAGTACTAGTAGTAGCAGCAGCAGCAGTAGCAGTAGCAGTAGCAGTAGCAGTAGCAGTAGCAGTAGCAGTAGCGGTAGCCGTAGCGGTAGCGGTAGCCGTAGCGGTAGCGGTAGCGGTAGCGGTAGCGGTAGCGGTAGCGGTAGCGGTAGCGGTAGCAGTAGCAGTAGCAGTAGCAGTAGCAATAGCGTAGCAGTAGCAGTAGCAGTAGCAGTAGCAGTAGCAGTAGCAGTAGCGGTAGCAGTAGCAGTAGCAGCAGCAGCAGCAGCAGCAGCAGCAGCAGCAGTAGTAGTAGTAGTAGTAGTAGTAGTTGTCGTCGTCGTCGTCGTAGCGTTAGTAGTAGTAGTAGTAGTAGTAGTAGTAGTAGTAGTAGTAGCAGCAGCAGCAGCACTACTACTACTACTACTACTACTACTACTACTACTACTACTACTACTACTACGACTACTACTACTACTACTACTACTACTACTACTACTACTACTACTACTAGTGGTAGCCGCAGCAGTAGCAGTAGTAGTAGTCGTAGTAGTAGTAGTAGTAGTCGTCGTCGTCGTCGTCGTCGTAGTAGAAGTTAGCGGCAGCAGCAGCACGAGGAGTAGTAGTAGTAGCAGCCGCAGGAGTAGTAGTTGGGATAGTAATTGCAGAAGTAACAGACATCTTAATGAACAGAATAATGTTGCTGACACTCAGAATAGCAATGCGAATACAAACAGTCACGCTAGTACTGACTGGTCATACTGACACGAATATAACATTGATCTTAGACCAGAGGCCGTCTGTTCTATTGCCAGGACACATCGCCTTGCGTACTCTGTACAGGATCCACTGCCGTGACCTGGGTTGTTCTTAAGGAGCTCTAGAGGTTTCACAGTTTGTTGCTTGGAGCTCATGCGTTCAAGGTGCAGGGTCGACATGTTTGCACGCTCTTGCAAGGGTTTCAGGCGTCCGGAACGAAGTATCACACGAACTTTCATGCCCAAAGGCAGGAAGCTACTTAAAGGATCATGGGACTTAGTAACTAGGGTTAAAATTGGGGTAACTATACTTATAACCCCAGTTAAGGAACTTATAACCTTACTTACTAAGTCCCATGATCCTCCAAGTACCTCTAACAGAGGCAACCGAAACACTGACTAAGCCAACTGCCCAAATCCAAAACACTGAAACTAAAGCAGCTACACTCTGACTCTACATGCTAAATGAAATCCCAACCCTGCAAAACCCGTAAATGAACCCTTCAAGTCCCATAGGGCACATGTGAAACACCCCCTTGAGAGACAAAAACCTAGGCTTGAATCCGACTTTTGTCTCCAACCTTCAAAAGACACCCTCCTGGTGCCCTGTCCCCACCTCCTCAAACCATAAGCCATACAAATCCTGCAAAATCCTTTCAACACCCTGCAAGACCCCATCAAACATGCCCTGACAAACCCAAAAACAAGCCAAAAAACAACGAGAACCCACCCTAAGAGCCCTCTAACTCGTCCCCTCTCCCCCCCCCAAAAAAGAATTAAACATACCCTCCAGAAAACTCTCCAAGAAGGACTCTCCGGCAAAATAAACCGCGGCCTGGAGGGTGTGGACGTCCAAAGACACGGAGTTGAAGACCTTCGAAGCCTCTTCGAGCTCCTCCCAAAGAGGGATCGGGGGGGGGGGGGGGTTAGGGTTTTAGGGGTTCCTGTAAAGGGTGCTAGAAGGGTTCCCTTAAGGGATCCATAGGGGGCAGGGGAGGGGGGGGCTAGGGTTTTAGGGGTTCCTGTAAAGAGTGCTATGAGGGTTCCGAGGGTTTTAGGGGGGTGCTGCAAGGATTCCTTTAAGGGATTGATAGGGGTTTGGGGGTTTGGGGTTTAGAGGGGTTTGGGGTTTCGGGGAGCGGGTTAGGGGTTTAGTGGTATAGAGGGTTCGGCTCTTTAAGGGGTCTCGATTTTGCGGGGAGATGGGAAGGGGAGGGTGGGTCTTTGAGGTAATCGTGCGGTTCTTCATCGGGTTTCATACATCGGCTATGTCCGGTTTAGGCTTCAGGGTCTGGTATTTTCCATCTTAGGAGTTGAGGGTGTGCGGCAGAAATTTATCATTTCGGGCGACGTTCCGGGTTTGACGAGGTATCGTGAACAAAGCCAGCCTTCAATTAAAACGGGTCGATACCCAAACCCTCTGCCCTGGCCCGAACCCTCCCTTCACGTCCACACCATGAACCAACATACCCTGACACGCCCTAACACCTCGAACAAACAAGCCACTGAACCTCACACCCTCAAAACATCTCAAAACCGTGCGAAGCAAACAATGAACCCCCCAAAACTGAATTCGATAAAGAAACCCTGCAACACCCTCAAAGGTTCATGTAAAATCTCGTATCATATATAACACAACAGACAAAACAAAAAACTCGAAAACTTACAAATATCTGAGGGGAGAGAACGGGCTCACCGGGATCCTTAAAGCCCTCGCGTGTGATCTGCGTGTTGCGCAGTGTGAGGTTCTCCACGCTGGGCAGCTGCCGAAGAACGTCGGCAATGGCGCAAGCCTGCAAGGGAGGGCTCTTGGGGTGAAGGCTTCACTTTTTGCTTTTTTTGGGGGGTGAAGGTGGCTTCGGGGTTTAGGGCTTCTTGTTTTGTTGGAGATTGGGGGACGCGGCTTTGCGGTTTCGGGTTTAGGCCCTGCTCGTCCTTAAGGGCTTAGGGATTTTTGGGGTTTTGGGCCCTGCAGCCTACTTAAAGGATCATGGGACTTAGTAACTAGGGTTATAATTAGAGTAACTATACTTATAACCCCCTTACTTACTAAGTCCTACTCTCCACTCCGACGCCACCTCATCGTCGCCCAGGTCGCAGGCATCCAAAAAAATGTGCCGTGCGCCAGTCTGCAAGACGGCAACGGCTCCTTCACAGCCCAGGGGCGTGTCGCGGACGATCACCTTGGAATGCTCTGCATAAAGCTTGTGGGTCTTTGGGTTCAGAAGCCAGAGAGTCGGATACCCCTGAATTCAGCAATGTTCTTCCCAACATACCAAAGTTTCCGCGGTGTCCCTTACCTGAGGGGTATTCAGTGGGCTCGGTGGCCTTGGATTGAGGTGCTGGACAGTGTGATCGTATGCTTCAGGGATTGAATCCTGGACGCTGCACCCTGAAACCTTTTGAGGCTAAACCCCCAAAAATACTGAGCGCTAAAATTCCTAAATACAGAGGGATTCGGGCTGTATGTTCCGGGGTTGAACGTATCAATCACCATCAAGATTTTCAGTTGCAGCCACGATTTTTCCCCAAACCAACCCCCCCTCCGACAAAGCCTGAACACCCCAAACCCCGAAAGCCCAAAACTCAAAATACCAATAGAACCCTCATAGGGCCGCAAAACACCAACGTGCTTAGACCATGTAAAGCTCGAAGGCCAACTTCTGAAAAGGCTGCGACAAGCCTCTTTGGATGAAGTATGTACGACTCTAGCTGCCTTACTGATGATTCCCCTTCTTACCAGGTCTCCGGATCCTTGAAGTATATGGTCGTTGATCTTAACTAATATATCCCCGAATGATCTTCTTCACGAAAAATGTAGTTTTCTTTAGCGTAACTTTCGCGCGCCCTTTCGCGACACATATTCAAGTATATGTTGATACTAATATACCAGAGTTCTATGAGGGATTTTTACAAGCTCTATAAGACTCTTTCAGGGTTCTAGTATAGGCGTTTTGGTGCGTTTTAGATGTGGTCCCATGTCAGGTTAGGGTTTCGTTCGGCTTGTAAGGTGCGTGGCTAAGGTTGAGGCCTGTTAAGGGCACAAGGATTACGGTAGGTTTTGGGTTCAAGCAAACCAGCACACCTGACAGCTCCACTCCAACACCCGCCAATCCAGTTCCGGAAACCTAGAAATTAGCCCTCAACGCCTGGAAACAAACTGGTAACAACTACAAAACCCAAACTTGAAGGCTTGGCAGCCCTGCAACTCTCACGCGCGTATTATAGGAATCTATGTACTTCTGGGGTCTTGCGGGATTCGAACCTTTACACGTCGGAGGCCTGCGAGGGTGACGATTTGGAAGTTTGTTCTTAAAAGGCTTCTGGGTAAGCAACGTAAGGACCCGCTGTAGTACAGTGCTAGTGCTACTGTGAATGCTAGTGCTAGTCGTGGTATGCGCCAGTGGTAGCCGTAGAAACAACAATGGGCCGTTGCCTTGATATGGCAACCTCGACTTTCACGCGACTTGCGCGGAACTCTAACGGATCTTTCGCGCTACACGCACTAGCCACACCACATTTTGGCATCTGCCTGGAGCCTGCTGCGTGGTTCGTTTGACATGTCGTGCTAAAACCGAAAGTCCAGAGGAGAACAGAGCGACAAGCAACAGACGTCCCAAAAAGTAGCAGCAGCAGCAGCAGCAGCCGCAACAGCAGCAGGGGTCGCAGTAGTAGAAGTAGTAGTCGTCGCCGTAGCCATTCATTCCCCACGCTGCATGACGTCCGAAGTCTGCATAGCGAGCTAGCAATACGACTTTGTCGCATTGGACTCTCTGTTGGAGTCTGCGGCGGGCATGATTGCCAGCACCGCACTGCCTAATAATCCTACATCTGGTGTCTCAGCTCAGTTGGTTGCATAGCCTGGCTCGTAGCGAAGCCAGAGCACATAAGTAGCTTTGCGATGCAATGCCGAGTCTGCATGTTTGTGGATGCAGGCAGTGCGATTGTCATCAGTGAGCCACTTTTTATCTCCCCCATAGAAAGGCTGACCGCAGAGGACTGCTTGGTAGTGTCCCTCGGTCGGCGATGCCCCGTGGTGCAGTGCCATAGCCACGACCTGATAGGGCAGATGCTCGCACTCAAGATTGCAGCGTTCGGCTTCGCTGCCCGCTTTGAAGACTGGCAAATGCACAATGTGGAGGTGGCCTGTGAGAGGTCTCGGATCGCGCTGCACAACCCCGACCTCGTTGTGAAATCGAAGAAGCTGTAGGCACACAAGCTGGGCTGGTGAAGTTAGGGCATGAACATTGGACTGTGAATGCCAGCCATCTATGCACCACTGCAGATGACAAACCTCACCGGCACAGAGGGGAATTGGAATAGGATAGTGAGCAGGCCCGGAGTCCAATACACAGAGCTGTGCATTTCGATAACGGCGTGCCTCCCACCTGGAGACAACTAGGTCCGCGCTGAGTACCAAGCCCCTGTGCAGCAGATAGGCAAGGAATTCGCAGATGTCATGTTGGCTACCAATCTGAGGCCATTGCCCAAGGAGTAATCTCCACTGCAGAAGTTGAGTGACTTGAGTGGCACGGTTTGTGCGTGGGCGGGAGGCCAGAGCATGGAAGCAAGGATGCAAGGAGTAGGAAGCAATGCCATGTCGATGCAATTGCATTGTAGCCCAAGCAAGGGCGAGCACAGTTGTGTTTAGGTAGCACAGATTATTGGTGTTGTGAAGGCTGAGTTTCAGAATAGCACCAAGATCAAGGCCCGCACATTGCATCACATCCCCTGTCTCACCTGGTCGACCAGTCCGTTGTACTGGGGTCGCTCTCGTCGTAGGCGACAGCCGAGCAGATGCCATGCCGCTTGTCCCACCCAAGTCTGGAGAGTATTCCAGATTGGATCTCCCAGTGGCCGGAGGGAAATCTCCAGACGGAACTGCATCCATTCGGTGACCGGCTGTTCTGTCATCTTCTTGTAGCTCCGGAAGCGATGCAGAGCCTCCTCTGTGACTCCCTTCCTCAACTCCACTGTCTGCTTGAGCAGGTCCTCGGTGGGGACCGTGATCTTGCTCTAGTCGACTTGGAGTTCTTGCCTTTGTGGATCCCACTTGAGTACTCTCCAGTGTCCTCGTTCGTCTGTCCAGTTCAGCTTCCGTGCTTTTTCCATCTCCGATGTGTCCTTGGCCACCGCGGTGAGGCGACCATGAAGTTCGATCATGAGCTGCTTGAACATCGCGATCTTGAGCGAGTAGGTCAGAGTCTGTGGCGAGATTTCCTTCGCTTGCCGCCATTTCTCCGCAGTTTGATGCAGAAGCGATACGATGCTGCCCTGGCCTGTCTTGACAAAGAGGTAGAGGGTGATGTCCTGACGGAGCGATGCCAAGGTCTGTTCCTGCTGCAGGACGAGCCTGGTGAGGTTCCACATTTGCACCCGGTATGGGTCCTGGGATCGATCGCCCTGGTAGTAGGGTGGAATCATCTCGTTGGTCCACGGGGCTTCCCATTGGTCGGAACCACTGGCATAGTCCCAACGGGTTGCCGGTGCCGTTGGCTTTCCTTTGCCTTTCCCTTTCCCTTTGCCATTTTTGCCTTTGCCCCTGATCATCGGTGTCATCGAGTGGGACTCCTCCGGTCGAGGCCGCTTGGTGGGCGGCGTGGCTTTCTGAGGATCTGATCCGAAAAATTTGGCCTCCTCGTCGTCGAGATCCATGTAGTCCAGGGTGAAGCCGGTCATGCCAGGCTTGTAGAAACGCACAGATACTTAAGACTGGACATTGAAAGTAATGGCGATCTTTGTTAACCTTAGTCTGATGGCAAAAACGGCAGGGTAGGACGATGTTACGACGGAAGACCTGAAGCAACTGCAGTGCTGCTTCTTTTGTCTCGAGCCACGAGGCATGTGCATGCGCAAGGTGGTGTTTTAGGCCGACAGCATCAGCACTCCATTGATAACACACAGGGCAGCGGTGCTGAAGATACTGCTGGACAGCAGTGTCATTGGCCAGATCCACCCATTGACCCTGTTTCAGCCTGGCGAGCACAGACTCCCATTGGATCAGGGGTTCGTCGGAGGTGATGGAAATGGGGGTTACAGTAAGAGTCGGCTCACAGCAAGGTGCAGAAGGAGCAGGGGTTGGCATTGCAGGTTGATCAGGCGATGTGGGATCTGAGGGCAAGGCCACAGCAGTGTCAGAAGCTTCAGCAGTACGAGGCATACCTGACGAGGGAGCGGTCGGCACACATTGGCCGCGGAGCACAGGACAGCGTTGTCGCCTGATGTGCAACTTCAGGTTGTCCCACTGTCGAAAAGCATGGCCACATAAACGACAAGTAGGTAGGCCATTGAGGCTGTGTATTCGTCGATCGAAGGTGACCTCGTCCGATTTCGGAGCTTTTTGACGATGCTCAACGGATTCGTGTGTTCTAAGAAGCCTGTAGCAATGGAATGCTTTCCCACACGTGTGGCATGAGAAGGGTGCATGGGATGGGATCGTGCCTCCGGAAGTCTGCGCAGTCCACTGTTCGGCTTGCCATACCTGCAGTTGGGCAGCAGTAGCACGAACGTCCTGGACGTGGACGTCAGTAACGGTTTGACCAAAATGGGTGTTAGTGTGAAGTTGATGGTGCAAAGAATGGGCTTCCTTGTGGAGGATATCAAGGGCTGTAGGTACACCATATCTGCTGTGCAGATCAGTTGTGGAAACTTTGCTGAGGTGTGCGTAGAGATGTGTGATGGCACGAAGTTGCTTTGTAAGTTGGTGTTGGATTCTCTGAAGGTCACGCATAGCTGGGGCCGTGGCTGCCAGACCGTACAGCAGTGTGGGGATCACGGTGGCCCTCCAGATGGCGATGCGTTTGCGGACATCTAGCTGAGTTCGCGAGCACAGGATCTTACGGAGCCTTTGCCAGGCTTGGTTGGCAGCCTGCATGCGGTAGGCTACAGTGTGCTTGGCAGCAGAATAGTAAGAGATGGTCACTCCCAAGTAGACATGTTGGTCTTTCAGTGGGAATTCAAAGCAACGTCCTTTAGGAGTATACGCAAGCAGATGCGCGGTGTCCCATCTCTAATTGTTCTATGCTGCTGCAGCCATCGCTTGGCAAAACGACCACAGACCCGAAGCAAGATAGCGGACTTTTTGGAGTTGATACGCATCTGAGCATCTGCAAGAACATCCAGAAGTGAGCCGAGTCGAGATTCTGCTCGGACCAGGGTGGCATATGAGGTGACCATGTCAGATGCATGAAAATCGTCAGCATAGCCAGTCACTGATTGAGCTACCCACTCAATTGTAGTTGCCTGTTGTAGGGTGACTAGCAGATATCCCGTGCAAAGACCCCAAAGCAGGGGTGCCAGGAGGCACCCCTGTCGCACTCCCTGCGAAGCTTGCACCCACTTTTCCCAGCCAAGGTGCCGAATGTGATAGGTTACTTCACTGTACCAGCTAGAGACCCAATCCTGAAGCTCGGAGGGTATGTGAGCAGCTTGCATGGCTTCTGATAGCAAGCGCCAGGAGAGAACATCGAACGCGGAAGTTAGGTCCAATGAAAGCTGCAACCCGCCTTGGTTTGTGGAGGATCTGGGCTTGTTCTCGTAGGCATCCATGAGTTTGCGTGCCGGGGTAGAGCAGGCCTGCTGGACTTGTCTACAGTGGGACTGCACACGAAGAATGGCATGGCTTGTGCTGCGATGTGCTAAGTAGGCATATTGGGGGAGTGAGTGTAAGTAATTCTGGACGTGAGGTCGCAATCTTCGCTGTAGGATACGTGCAATTGCACGGCCGCTCACTTCCGTGAGCCCTATAGGTCGTAAATGCTTGGGTTCCAGGGGTCGTGGAACCTTCGGGATTAAAGTTATCCATGCATCACGCCAAAGTTGAGGGACTTGGTGGGCTGATCGGGTCATTTCGGCTAGATAAGGTGCTAGCACATCCGAACAGCTACGCCACAAGGAGGTGGTGGCCATGCCTCTGGGCACTGCCTTGTGGATCGGAAGGTGATCGAGGGCATGTAGGACCTCCGTGTCTGTAACGTCCATTTGAATGTGAGAAGGTGGGGGAGGAGGGGTGGACTCTGCAGGTGCTTGATACAATTTCTCATAGTGAGCCCGGAGTTGCTCGGCTTGGGCAGAGGCATCTTGCATGCATCCGGAAGCGTCTCGGAGCTGGACGGCAATTCGCCTGGATTTTGGGGCCAGGGATCGAACACCGGCATAGAGGAGCCTTGTATCTTTGGACTGAGCAGCATGCTGCAAGTCCGCCAGTGGGGACTGGAACCAGTGCTTCTTGGCCTCCTTACCAGCTTTTTTGAACGCTCTCTGTTTCTGCTGAAAAAGTTGATAGCTCCGCCATTTGGTGAGGATATCCCTGAGTCCAGCACCTACTGGTCTTTTCCATGCACGATAGGCCTGCCACATGGCCTTCAGGCCACCTTGCATTGCCGGAGTCTGCCACACAGCTAGACGTTGGGGCTGTTCTGGTGCCGGAAAGATGGCTGCTGCATGTGTGGTAAGGACCTGGTCCAGCTCGGCAAGGGTCTGTACCTGGGGGAGGCACTGGCCAACACGGTGACGAAGCTGAAGAATGCGGGGGTCCTGCTGGTCTAGGCACGTCTGGACAAGGGTCCAGTGATCCCAGGTCCTGACAGATTGGGGAGGTGGCCGATTCAATTTCTGGAAGAGTTGAAGACGGACTGTGCCCACAAGCGGTAGGTGCCTGCCTCCTTGTCGCCATGCAGCAAGCCAAGCGAGCCAAGCTATCAGCATGCGTGCCTCGCACGAGCAAGTGGTCGATGAGACTGTGTCCAGCATGATGCAGGTAGGTGGGGCCTGCGTGACGGCTCCAAGAGTTGAGCTGCACAAGTTGATGATCCTCAAGGAGCTGCTGCAGCAGGTGTTGATCTCGAGCCAGTGAGCCTGTGCCACAGCTGGCTTTGGGTCCAACCAATGCAGATGGTTGTAGTTCGCAATTGTGATCACCCGCAATGACTAATGTGTGTCTTAACGGCACGCGACTGACCTCGGCCCGGAGAGTGTGCCATACCTTTTTACGGAGTTCCTTGGATGCTGCAGCTTGATTCTTTTGCGTGGTTTGGGGCTTTTGGTAGAGGTTGAAAAGGTCCAGGGTCCACTTTGACGAGGCAAGTCGGACATGTTGCACCCTGCCTGGAAGTGGGTCCGCATAGGTTAGTTGACCCTGGTCGCAGAACTGTTTGTCCAGCAGGACCACTAAGCCTGCTGCCTTACAGTCAACGGTAGGAGAGGTCAGGACCGTCCAATCGGATGACTGAAATTGAGGGGCCATGGCCTCGGTCCAGTGAGACTCCTGTAGCAGTACTACCTGCGGACGCAGCATCGTCGGCATTGTCGAGAGGGTCAGGAGGAGCTCAGTCCAAAGATCAGTGGTGAGGCCTCCAGCGTTCCAGCTCCAGAGTAGAAGACGATCCGGGCGCCTTTGCATGGCATGTTGTCTGGGTCTTAGAACAGCATCACTAGCAGAACGAGAGCCTGTATAGTTGCTGTGGAGTTGCCCGAGTGTCTGAGTCCGTCCTCGATAGACAGTACGCTGATCGGGATGAGCTGCAGCTCGCCTGACGGCACGTTTATAGGAGCGCTTGCGAATGGCAGTCCACTGAAGGGGACCTGGAGGATGCAGTACAGCTGGGGTTGTGGCGGAGATTGCATGTAGGGGCAGTTGTGATGATGGGACACTTGCCACTGATCGTGGCTGGGCACTGAGGATCAAAAAAGGTAGAATGGCACGAAGATGCCACAGAGGCTTCAGCCTGAGACCCACACGCAGTGGCCTGGTAGGGCACTGCGAGAAAACTGTGCAAGGCCTGGTCGCGGACTTGGGAGTTATCACACTCCCAGGGCTCGAAAGCCAATCTCCAAGCAGACTGAGCTCTGGACCTCGGGGTAAGATGAGGGGCTGGATGCTCCAGCCAGGAATGGCTGCAAAGCATACACGCGTCGAGATCTGAAGGAAGCAGGTCGGACGAGGGGTGTTCTTCAGATAGAGTCCAACCAGTACCTGTGAGCTACGGGCTAGTCGGAGAAGAGCCGACCATGCAGTCCGAATCCGGGCAGCGGGGTCAGAGGCAGAGGTTAGGGGGATGAGCAAGACAGAATGAGATGGGCAGTCCCGTGGGACAGTACCCAGCAAAGATGCAGGATTTTGGAGCTCTTGCCGTGGCTTCCCACAGAAGTGCCACTCCGGACACAACGGTGGTCTCAGCAACAGACGGCTACTGTTGCTAACCCTCACTCCTATTCTCCCTCGGATCTGACACCTGCTATGCGAATACTTGGGGTTGTCTCGCATAGTAATCACTGTATGGTGTGCGGGAGAATGCTCGGACTTGGGACCGAGCTGGCTCGCTTTTTGAGAGATGATGTGAATGATCGGTAGCAGGCTAGTGGCTAGGCGTGGACCCGACTTCAGAGGCTGGTTTGTCGGGAGGCAGCATCTAGTCCATTGTCGCCAGATCAAAACTGGGCTCAGTAGAATCAGCTCTGGTGCAGGTATCATCCCATCTGGTTGAGGGCCCCATCTTATTTGTAACAGATCGGAGTCTTCTTTGAAAGGGGAGCTGATGTGGGGTGTTTCGTCTAAAATGAAACCTGCACCAAGCACATCGAGGGTCGGCTATTCTGTAGTCCAATCGCGTGCCGGGAATGTCCTGAAGGTTAGGCATCCAGGTTTCCGAGGAACTGACATCCTGAAGACCCGAACTGGGAGCAGGAGGTAGGCTCCCCATGGTGGACGGATCGAGGCCAGGTCGCGGCAGACGCGAGCATACAGCACAGACTTCAGAGGGACCGACTTGATAGGCATCCGGCCAGCCTTGCTGCCAATGGTGCAGGCACACCGGGATGGAAGACGGCGTGCGGGGCGGCTCAATCAGCCCTGGAAACAGAACTCGCAGAAGATGGCCGAAGTGCTGTGGAGTGCACAAGAGATCGGGATGGGCCTGCCAAGATACCGGCCTCTCGCTTCGCATCGATGGGGCTCTTGGCTCAGGTCTTGTGTGCGTTCGGTACAAGGAGCACAGCTGTGCTGAGACTGAAACCCGGGCTCGGATGGCACTCTCGGACCTGTTATGGAAGATGCAAGTCAGCAAGCGGCTGGCTGAATGATGCCAAGGGAGGGGGCCTAGGCCCTCACCACTGGTAGAAGATGCACTTCGATCAGAGATGCTCCTGAACATAGATAATGCAGGAGAGGTGGCTCCCACAGTTGCATTCGAGGCATCATAGGAGGGAGCACACGACAAATGCGGTCTCGATGGCAGTGCTCGGGTGGGCACGCCTCCATGCTGCTGAAGACGAGGCGGCATCGGGGGAAGGACCCCTCGGCATAGTTGCACACAGAGGTCCATACAAGAGCAGCTAGATGGGTGAGCCTGAAAGTAGCCAGAGGCCGAGTGCCTAAGAAGTTTCCTGCAGGAGGGCTGCCAACGGGCTAGGATAGCAGACGGTGACAGTTCCATGCCTGGGGAGTTGTCAGCGTGATCTCGACTGGACCTGGGCAACGAGAAGAGGCAGACTGCAAGAGGACGCAGGATACAAACTATCTGTACGCCTTGGCATGGCAGTCTAGGCTCTCGGTCCTTGTATGCGGCACTGGATGAAGTGGCAGTGTCTCGGCTAAGTCCCGCGGCACGATTGGCCTGGAAAATTTCTTCCATCTTCCTAACCATCCTTTTCCGAGCTCGATCATGAGCCCTGGCATCCCGGGTTGTAGTGCTTTTTCTGCCCCTGGTAGAAGAAGAAGAGGGCAGAGGCTTCTTCTCGTCGGGTGCCTCGCCAGTATCGAACCACATAGAAGTAGTCCGAGGGCGCTGCGGGGAGCGTGCCTTCCGTAGACTCGTGGCCTTGGTCCTTTTAGTTCTCTTGGTGAGGTTGCGAGAGGAAGCCGGCCTCGCCTGGGATACATCCTCCGAGGCTGTGCTCGTGAGGAGCTTGTCGGGCTCTGCAGTGGGCTTCGCAGCTTGCGTTTCAAGAACATCTCGTTCTGAGTCTGGCAGTGCTTTCGGCACTGTAGCCACCGTGTCTGTGTCGTTGGCTGTGGCTGATTTGAGAACCAAGTTGCCAGATTGAATCGTAAGCTTAGCATCCACTGGTGTTCGTCGCCGTAGTCCTCGCCGTAGTAGGAGCAGCACTGCAGTGCCAGTACTAGTACAAATACAAGTATACACATAAGCAGGAGCAGTGCCAGCACTAGTACAAATACAAGTATACATAGTAGTGCAGTTACTAGTACTGGTACTAGCAGTAGTAGCAGTAGTAGTAGTAGTAGTAGTAGTAGTAGTAGTAAGTAGTAATTAGTAGTAGTAGTAGTAGTAGTAGTAGTAGTAGTAGTAGCAGTAGTGTAAGAGTCATAATGGGCAAGCAGGCTAACGCAATAACTTTAGCAGAAAAATAATTTTCTTTAGCGGACCCATCGCGCAACTTTCGCGATGGCATGTCATGTTATGCCCGTGATCGTTTTGTATAAATACAGCCACAAGGACCTTTAGATCAATGCCCATATATAGCCTAAACCCCAACCCAAACCAGGAACCCTTGCAGATCCCTTGTAGGATCCCTTCTATAGATCCCTTATGGATTATTACAGATGCCTGAAAGGATCCGGGTAGGATCTCTTCAATACTTCTCGGCCAAGCATCCATTTCCAGGTTGGTGTAGCTCTTCAGGGCCTCCGGCTTCAGGTGTTCATGGGTTTAGGGCTTGAAGTTTAGGGATTTCGGGTTCAGGGATCCTCTAGGATGTAGGTTCCAGGGCTTTGGAGGGATTCTATGAGCCTTAACCCTTTGTAGGATGTTTCAGGTATTGTATGGGGTGTTGCAGGTTTAGTGCTTTCGGCTTTTTGTTGGTTTCGGGTTTAGGCTTGCAAGGGGACGCAATACTATTCCTTGGAGCTTCTCATTCTGTTTTCTACATTGAGGATACCCCCCAAACCCCCCTTAAAACCATAACAGAAGCACATGAAGAACAGAAGGACAAGAATGATTTCTAAGGAGACTACAGGTCAATGATTATTGAGGCTGAATACCCTAAACCCTAAACCCTTAAACCGTGAAACCAAAAAAAGTGGGCAAAACGAGCCGCCTGACAGAGGATGGGGACCTCCTGCTTTGACAACTTCAGGTTCAGCTTCCTGAGCTTTTTGGTTTTCTTGAGAGTTCCAGGGCTTCGTTTTTTAAGGGATTCTACAAGGGTTCGATAAGGGTTGTAGGGGTTTGAGGCATCAAGCTTAGTGTTTAGTCTGTTGGGAGTAAGGTTTGGAGTTTAGGGTTTTTTGGTTTATGGTTTAGTCTTAGGGAGTTCAGGGATTACGCTGTATAAGGGTTTTCTCGTGGCTTTTAGGCTTGTCTTTGTCTTCAAGGAACTTACGGTGCCATGACAAGGGTTGATAGTTGTTGTTTTCAGGATGCTCAAATATGGGGAATACCAGACTAAGGATTTTGTCAAGCTTTACAACGGAGCTTATGATGGATGTAGAGGCTTATCATAGACAGCGTTTTAGGCCTGCCAAAGGCTCTTGCACGGGCGCTATAACGGGGTTTGAAGTTTCCTCTAATAAGGACCCAGCTTCGTCGTGGCCGTGACCTTGATCAGGAAAACCTCTTGGAAGTGGGGTCTGGGATTCGCCGTAGGAGGATTTGGTGGTCTTCAGGGTTGAGAATTTGGGGGGGCTTTGAGGTTGAGGATTTGGGGGGTTTAGGGTTCCCAGAGCCCCGGGAGGATCTAGAAAGTAGTCCCCTAATTTGGGGCCCTATACTACCAAGGGTACTTTATTTATAGGAACCCCCGTTAAGGGATCTACTTTTTGGATCCTGGGGTGCAAGACCTTGAATTCTTAAGCCCATGCCCGATGAAGCCTACAAACCTATAAAGCCAAAACCCTAAACTCCATAATCCACCCCCGCTGGAATCCTCAAAACCCCTACCCGTCCCAATTTCTGCCCTTGAAATCAAGGAACCCAAATATTTTCTCTGCCTGTCTTTCAGAAGCGCCTTGTTTCCCTTGCACCCTAAACCCTAAACCCCCTTAAGGGTTCAAACCCTCAACATCATTAAAGTTTGTGTGCGTGCTGTTGGGCGGCGACTCAGGAGCCAGGCTCCGCTCCGAAGAGGGGGCCGGAATAGGAGCAGCCAAGGGCTCTTGGGCATTTCTGTGTCTTTTTTGTTTGGAGGGCCTTTCTGGTGTCTGCGCATGTTGCATCCCCCAACCCATTTGTGGGCTTTAGGGTTTAGGGTTTTGCAGGTACGGTTTTGCAATTTACAAGAGGCTTTCGTGGCTTGTAATGTTTTTCCAGGGCTTGCTCGGGCATAGCACGAGGAGCTTTAAAAGTTGGACTACGGGTTTGCAATAGGATTTAGGGAGCATGGCGATAGGCTAAAGTACCTGGGCAATGCTTGCTGTACCTATGGAAACCACTAGTTTGTACGATCTTAAGGACGGGCATGCAGGGTGTGAGGGGTCCTCCTCCTGCAGCTTCTTCAGCAAATCTGCGTCGTCCCTGTGGGTAAACTTGAGCATGTCCATCCTAAGTGTCATGCTCATTGCTTCGGGCTTTAGATTCAATAGTGATGACCATAAACCCTAAACCCGAAACTTAAAACCCTAAACCCTAAACCCTGAGCCCTAAACCCTAAACCCTAAATCCCTAAACTCTAAACCCTGAACCCTAAAGCTTCTGATTTACCTTTTGGGGTACCATGCCCAGGGGCTTTTAGGGTTCACCGTGCGGCAGCTCAGTTCCAAAACGCACGTCCAGGTGCAGCAAGCTTACCCCCAATTACTTACCGGTTTTTTAGTAGGGAATGGAAGAATGGTAGTAATAGTAGTTATAATTGTAGCCCCTTCCTCCATTCCCTACTAACCAAAGGTAAGATTCACGCCGAAACCCCAAACCGAATCTCACAAGATTCTGTGTAAGAACCTCGCAAAACCTCGACTACACCATACTCAAGCATGTCAAGTCTTGCAAGTCCAGGCATAACCCAATTGCCACACACAAGCAGCTTTAGGGCCATCAGCCCTGAACCCCAAACACGTGTAAAGACGCGAAGAAGAATCCTGCGCCCTCTTGGTTCCACTAAGCGGCTGCCTTGAAAAGAGCATCGGGGGCAGTGGCACGTCCCCAGCAAAAGTCTCCCGAAGATTCGCCCACTCCTCTAGAGTCTGAGTGTTTGAAGTTTAGGGTTTTCGGCTTTGGGTTTGGGGTTGATTTCAAAATTACGGCGTGAGCTTTAAGGCTTAGGCTTCAGCATGTAGAGCCTTAGGGCTTTCGGGTTTACGGATTTGGATTTCGGTGCAACGCTTTTGGTCCTACACAAACTGTTCTCAAGCGGCGTTCATAATAGACCAGCCTAAATAATGTGAGCAGGGTGTGCGGGATATGCAATGCTGATCAGACTATTAGTCATACAACAAGTGATTGAGATCACTACTTTACTACGAAAACGTTATGCTCTTCGGTTTCGGGCCACACGCTTCCAGGACCTCGCTCATCAATGTATAGTTAAAACAAGCAACCCTCCAGGATAGTATGAGTAATTCTGGAGGCCCCTATATAAACCGATGGCGTGTCAAGGCACCAGATGAAGGCTGAAAGCAGCTACTTTCTGGATAGCTCTAAAGGCTAAACGCTTCCTTAGCGGCTAATTTCATAAGCCCCCAAAAAGTGTACACTCTCAGTTTTATAGTGGGTAAAATGTTCCCAAAAAGTGTAAATTGTATACACTCAGCTACTAAGCTTCTTAAAGGATCCGGGGACTTAGCGAGTACATGAAAAAGTAGGGTGACCATAGGCCTAATCATGCATAACCCCAATCAAGGTACTTGTTGCCCTACTCACTCAGTGCCCTGATCCTCTAAGTAAACCGCAATACCTCATGTAAAAAGGCTTCTCGGGGTTCCCCAACTCAGAACCCTCTAAACATCCTTAAACAACCCTACAAAAGCTTATTGCGGTACCCCTGAACCTACGCCCTCCAAAAGCCTCACAAAGAGCTGCAAACACCCTTCTTGTGGTATTCCTGAACCCTCTACACCCTCTTATAAAGCCCGATAAACGGCCTTGAAGTAAACTTGCAAAGAGATTTTGCTCCTTCTCTGCCTGGCACCAGCCGCGCTCGCTGTAGGGCACGTTGTTTGCATTGAGCTCCGAAATGGGCACCTCCACCACACCTTCAGGCTCAAAGGGCTTCTAAGGGTGCATTGGGTGTCTGAGGATTTCATAAGCGGCTGAGGGGTTTTAGGGTTAGGGCTGGGTAGCTGAGAGGGGTCGTCAGGAGAACCCCCAAATACACATTCCCCGTATAAATTCCAAGACGTCTCGAACGCAGTCACCGAGACCCTCTTCTAAACCCAACCTTACTTCAGGTTCCCTCCCATGGTCGCGAAATTGAGTTTGGCTCATGGATACCCGCCTTGATGGCTCTCCTTGTAGACGCTGATCTTGGGGCGCATCCGCTCCACCTCGAAAGATCCTACTGCTGATGGACAAAATCCTGCATTACCCATTATCAGGACTATACCATAGTTCCCATAGTTTAGAGTCCTTAGGATCATGCAGGATTTTGTCCATCAACCGTACTACTCACCAGGCCCCAACCCCAAACCCCGTAAGAATCCTTCAAGAAATCTCACCCCGAAAAGTCTTGAAAGTGTCAGTTAAGGACCCTCATGCACCGGAGCGAGAAAAGAGGCCGAAATCTCGCGTACTGCCCCCATACTTGGAGGATCATGGGACTTAGTAGGTAAGGTTATAAGTACCTCAATTGGGGTCATAAGTTATAGTTACCCTGATTATGACCCTAGTTACTAAGTCCCATGATCCTTTAAGTACCGTAACTATGAAGGTCCTAATATATCTATATTCTGAAAATTTTTCAACTGTTACTGAGTGGGGGCACTCTCCAGGCCCCAACCCCAAAATCCTGGCAAGAATCCTCTAACAACCCAAATCTCTAAAAGCCGCGGACATGTCATATATCCTAAACCCTAAACCCTAGCCTAAACCCTAAATGGACCTCGGCTTTCCTCTCTGCCGGCGTCAGCTTGCTGATAATCTCGACTCGGACCACCTGGGAGCTCGGAGAGAAAACTGGAGTCCTTTCATGTGATAGTAATAGTAATAATCATGGTAACAATAACAATAACGAACATATAAAATAGGAATAAAAACCACGGGGACGACAAGAACGACTACCGAAGCTGTAGTAAAGAAATAATAATCCGCATACCACTAATACCAATAGTAATGATAACATATGAACTGAATCGCAAAATTGAGCTACAAACTCTAACAGTGGTAACAGCAGCACGCATCCGTAGGGAATTCTAGGAGGACCTGAGGAAAGGACCCGTATCACAACAGCCCCCAAAGAGATCCCAGGTTCTGTGGAAGAGATCCCAGGTTCTGTGGAAGGGGCACCTCGTGGGCGTAGAGGATATGCATGGCCTCCAGCGCTCGCTTGAAATTTATCTGCTGGACGGCATCGCGCTTGTATTGATAAAGCGACACGTAGTCGATGAACAGCCAGACCTGGACTGGGGGACGCAGAGGCTTAGAGATCCCCTTAAAGGTTCAGCGGACATCGTAAGCAGGCTATAACTGATAACGTCATCTGCAGCTTCTCAAACGCCAATTAAGCTACCTGTAACCTTACTAACTGGTTGCGGGTTCCCTGGCCTGTAACACTTTGATGTTGCAGTGTGCTCATCAGGCTAAACTTGAAAACCAAAGCCACAAACTCGCCTAAACTGCTTGCAGCCTCAACCCAAGGCAGGCAAGACGCTTCAAAACCGGCCTAACCACCTAATCGCCTGAGCCCTAAATCCAAACTTCGCTCTCAACCCCCCCCCCCCAAAGAACACATGAAGTCCCCTACAGAACCTGCGCAAAGCCCTCAAAAAAGTCTATGAAGCCCTCTAAACAGCCCTTTATCAGTTCCCCTGGGTTCAGGGCTCCTTGCCAAGGGTATTGTAAGGTTTAGGGTTTAGGGTTTAGGGTTTAGGGTCTATACTTGAGGGATCATGGGACTTAGTAAGTAAGGTTATAAGTACCTGAACTAGGGTTATAAGTATAGTTACCCTAATTGTAACCCTAGCTACTAAGTCCCATGATTCTTTCAGTAGACCCTAAAAGCCCTTCTTAAAATAGAACCCCTATAGATCAGCCCTTTAAGGAACCCTAGTTGCTACGTCCCATGATCCTTTCAGTAGACCCTAAAAGCCCCTCTTAAAACAGAACCCCTATACATCCCTCCTTTAAGGAACCCTAGTACTAGGCTCCCTTTATCCGGTTTTTTTGCGAAGCCTTGGAGCGATCGCCCTCTTTCTCGCGGAAGCGGCTCACGGCCTCCGCCAGCTGGTAGCCCCAGGGATCCTCGCGCGCCGGTTTACAGCAAACTCCATAAAGTTGGAAACCGGATTAAGGCAAAAAAGAGCTGGGATTCCCTATACATTACTCTTAAGGACTGAGGCTATTGGGTTTCCAACTTTTTGGCCTCTACTGTAGGGTTTAGGGTTTTTACCTCGGGCTCAGGGTCTCGGCCTTTTTGAAGATCAATGGCTCTTTCTCCGCATGGCAACGCAGGGTCTAGGCTGTTTTTTTACAGTGCAGAAGGGTCTAGGCTTTGGGTTTAGGATGTAGGGTTCAAGATTTTTGCATTTTAGGGTCGAGGGGTTTGTGGCTTGGACTGGGGTTGCGGTGGCTTTAGAGGGGCTAAAAGAAGCTTTTCCAGGTTGAAAAAGTGTAAGGATTTGCAAGGTTTTTAGGAAATTATTTCGACCGAAGCCTCATGACTTTTTACTTCCGAAAATTAGGGGTACCTTATGTTGGGGTTCTTCTGATAAGGATCCTATTATTTAGGGTACTATATCAGGATCCCCTATTTTCGGAAACTCCCATACCTCCACAGATTGGATCTGGTACTTCGTCCAGTGCTAGCCCGAAGGCATTTCTCCCAATTGACGCTAGGCAAGCAAGTCATGCCAAACTCTTAAACACCCAGTAAACCAAAACGCAACACGCCTGTCAACAACCCGAATTTGCCTGATACCCCCTCACAAACCATGCAAATTCTCCCAGACACCTTACAACCCCAAAGACCTCAACCCAAAACCCTTATACCCCTAGCCCCCTAAAGCCCCAAATCCTAAACATTGAACTCTGAGACTCTAACCCCCCCCCCCCCCCCCAAACCTCCCAAAACCCCCGCAAGGGCTCCGGGTGCTCCATGGACTCCCAGCAGTGGCTGATGGAGCCGAAGTGGACGCAGTGCTCTTCGGGCTCCCCCCGCTTGGCGAAGAAGCCGTGCCGGCCCCCCTTTTTTCAGCTCAAAAGGCTTTGGGTTTGGGGTTTAGGATTTAGGGTTAAAGGGCTCGAAAACAAAAGGGTGTTTGTATGGAGGGTTCTGTAAAGGAATAATTTTGTCTTCTTAGGGTTTATATGCTCTTGATGTGGTGGACCATAGGCTTAGGGTGTGGGGTTTATAGAGTGTCTCAGGGCTTGGGAAGGGGTGGGCCAGGCTTCAGTGTGTACGGGTGTTTTGGGTCAGATGGCTCGGCATCGGCGAGTTCTGGTCATTAGGGTTTAGGGGTTTAGGGTTTAGGGTTTAGGGTTTAGGGTTTAGGGTGACTATCATGAGACAACCGCCTCGTCACCAACATCGCCATCGAAATGACTATCATCATCAGCAACCATATCGACATCCCCAAGAGCGTTAGTATCCCTAAACCCGAAGCCCATACTGGCCCAAAACCCTAAAGCCGTCCATTCCCCCGGCCCTAAGCCACAGAAGACGCTCTAAGGGGGCCAAGATCTAGGGCGTTTGCCGGAAAAGTTCGGCCCACATGCTACGAAGAGCCAGACACAAGCACCATCAACACAGGAGTGTCGAGTTAGGTTCGGCTTGCATATTATTCACAAGAACCAGATGGACACAAGCAACAACAAGGAAACCTTTGCCCTGCGGAGGTCCCGAATTTCGGGGCCAACGGCCCAAGGACATCGGCCCCAAACGTTAAAAAACTCCGAGACCCTAAGAAGAACCTAAACCCTTACTAAAGAAAAAACCTTCAAACCCCGAACCCTAAACCCTAAGCCCCGAAGCGGCTACTTAAAGGATCATGGGACTTAGTAACTAGGGTTATAACTAGGGTAACTATACTTATAACCCCACTTAAGGTAATTATAACCTTAGTTACTAATTCCCATGATCCTCCAAGTAGCCTCGTACTGAAGGGCGCGCAGCTCCGCCAAAGTCACCAGAGCAGGCTCCCCCGAGGCTAAGACTGCGGTCTCGGCCTCCTTTGCGACAGGGCGGGTGCTTCGTAGCCAAAGGCCCCTTAAGGCCGAAGGGGTTCAGGGTTTACCCTAACCCTGAATAATCTACGTTTTTTGAGTTCCTTATATGATTTCCTTATATAAGTCCTTAAAAAGGAAGGTCCTTCAGGGTTACGTAGGCCGTTACACGCATCTCGGCCTCCTTTTCGAGAGCTTTTGGGGTCTTTTATAGGTTGCCATGATGTCATAGGATGCTACTGTATAAGCTTCTTGGTAGGCCTCGGCAGCGCTTATGATACCCCGTTTCGTGCCTTATGAATCGTGTAGCAGGAGCCCACAATGGAACACCAGAAGTAAGGGCTCCTTTGGGGGTCTTTAATTTCCGGGTTGTGGTTCGGCCTTGGGGTCAACAGGGGTACCCAAAAATTTTGAAATCCCGTTCAATAAGGACGATTCTTGAGATTTTATCCAGGTTCTAAGTGATGCGGATCCTTCTCGGTGGCGAGGTGTTTGGATATCATCTAGCAGCTCCCTTGACACAGAATAGTGCACAACGGTCAACATTTAACAAGAGACTTACAGCATCTTGGACACTGCGATGATATCAAGACGGTCGAAAGTGTAAACAGTAAACAAGTAACTAAAGTACATACGTATAGGCTATCTGCATACAGATGCATGGATAGATCGGTCTGCTACTTGGTACAAGTATGCATTCGCCTCGGAATAGGTGTATTTACAGAATTCTGTCTCTGTCTGTGTGTGTGTGCGCAAGTGTACTTTAATTACTTACCTGTGTTTTTGCGACTAGCTTCGCACATCTATACAACGACGTGCGTACCACTGGAATGTGGTGTGTACACATGTCTGTACATGTACCTATAATACACATCTACATTTACATATACATATACGTACATACACGTATGTGTATGTATATGCATATAAATACACGTGTGCAAACGAGAACACATACATTTACACCAGACCTTCGGACATAGATACAGGTACACATGTAGGGGGACGACAGACAAGAAACTGTTTACAACCTTTGCGTCTAGACGTGTATACATATATATATATACACACACATACTGTATCACAAAATACAAACGAGTAGATATGCACATATGTATATATAGACGTAGGCCTGCCGCCGCGGCCAAGGCTTTTTTGCTTTCTGCAGCTCCACCAGGTAAGCCAATCGCACGGGGCGGACGTCCTCAGGCGAGCACTCTCCAACCCCTCAAGGTGACTCAAATCTCTCTCTACGAAAAAGCTGGCACCTGTGCAATCTCGGTTAATGTCTCATGGTTGGCCTCATACCCCTTCTGACCTACAAAGGATCGAGCACGAAAAAGGGATGGAAGATTCGGTCGAGGTAAAAGCAAGTGGCAGCATCGACTTCGAGCTGCAGAGCGGAGGCAACCGGCCAAACTTCATGCCTCTCTGTTCATAAACCTAAACGCCAAATGTCTTCAGAAAACCTAAACACCAAATCTGTTCAAAAAACCTGAACACCAAACCGCAACCGATATCTTCTCAGCCAAGTCTCGGCATCCAGGAAATACTTGATAAGGGACGCCGGGTCAGAGAGACCTTGCACAGGACCGACACCTTGATCCCTGAAAGCATACTCCTACACCCAAACAGTCTTTCACCGTGAATACTCTGTAAAACCTCCAGCAATCGAGGCGCCCTCATCATCAAATAGTGCTTCGGGGCGGGAAATCCAGCATACTGATATCGAAGCTACTCAGGAGGATGACTTCGCAAATTATTGAGACCCCAACACAAACCCATCATTTGCCACAGACCCTAAACTCTCTTCTTCAACAACCGGGCCCCAAAAAGTTCAAACTTTCTAAGATAGAGCTAATATATGAGGCCAAAAAGTTTGAAGTTCCCCGTTTGCTATCTAAGTAAACCTTCCACCCCAAACCCAATTCAGGGCCAAGCTGTAGCTGTCCACGCTGGAGGTCTTCCTGACCTTTGGTGGAATTTCAGGGGCGGGGCCCAAAGAGGAGATGTGGTTTAGAGGTTTGTGGTAGAGAGGTTCGGGGTTTAGGGTTTAGAATACGGAAGCCTGCATGATAAATTCGCGTGGGTTCCTGTGGGATGTCTCGATCCACATGTTTGTTGATTCTTAGGTTTCTTACGGTCTGGCTACTGCAGTGACTGTAGTGCTGCACTTCGTCCTTTCTCATGCATAAAAGAACTAGTTTGCCAGCGCTCGGCCTATCTTATTGTGTTATGGCCAAAACTATAGATTGTTATCTTGCTTAATGCGGCGATAACTGTTTATCTTTGTTTGGTTATGGCATTGACTGATGGCCCTCTTGTGCTACGGCTACAAGTGGAAACAAAGCCCCCATCCACTTCAACGGATCCTCGAAGAGCTCCTTCAAAGGATCCTTGAAGTACTCCTTGAAGGGCCCGACTTATACGGCCGGCAATGCGTTCTGCCTGAACCCGGTGGTCCTGAGCCTCAAGTTTGAGTCGAGGAGCACGATCCTTCACCGGAGTGATGAAGAAGAACTCCTGTTTCGGGTTTAGGGTCTTAGGCTTCACGGTTTAGGGTTGTTGGGGCTTGGGGGATTCAGGGCTGCGGCTTGAGAGTCTTAGGGTTTTAGGTTTCGGATTCTAGGCTAGAGGGCGACGGATCTGGGGACTGTGAGGGCCTGAAGGTTTGATTACGAGCTTGACAAAGCTAAGGCACTTAACATAGGGGCCTAAATACTCAATAGATCTTATTTGGGGGGGGGGGTCCTTACTTGGAGGCCCTGTTGACTTAGTAAGTCTACTTAGTATCCCCTAGAAACCCTATTATAATCCCCATAACCCACCTTACTAACCCTACTTACTAAGTCAAAAGGGCCTCCAAGTATTACAATACATTATAGCCTTACTCCGTTAGGTCCTTGTCCTCGATGCTCGCGTTGTTGCTGGGATCTGCCTGCAGGGGATGCAAGGCTGGCTTATGGATTGTCATGGGTTCGGATGTACGGTGCAGGCTTGGGGCTAGCTGCAACTTCGTATTAAACCGTGGTTTTCTATTTCCTTCCACGAACCTAAACGTGCAAGCTTGTATTTCTGCCGTACTCCTTCTCCTGGTTCCGGTGTACTCTTTCATTCGTGCGGTTCACTTCCGTTCTGCCGATCGAAGATTATTGACTCGGTCGGCCGTGATATACTTCCGAGAAATCATCTTGTGTTTGGCAGGACTGGCCTAGACTATACCATACCATACTGAACTTGCCTACGTAAACTAGATTATATTTGACTACATTGAACTGTGTGTGCTATACAGCACTATGCTATCCTATACCTACGACACTATACTAGAGTATACTATGCTCATGGCATGCTGTGCCAACTCTGCAAAACAAGTTTGTACATTGCTATCTATCCCATGGACGTCCTCCAAATCGCTGATTAAGCTCGGTCTTGTGGATTGTACAGTTACAGAGTGAAGCACCCGACCGTTGTACGCGCTCCTTCGAGTCGGTGAAAATTGTGTTCATGTCTGTGCGCACACAAAAAATTTATATATATATATATATATATATACATATTAATCTGTATACTGTATACACATACACACGACGAAAATTGATGTAGAGGCACGATGCATGCTTGCAGGTGCACATGTACCTACATGAGATCAGGAGCATGCAGTGGTTCCGAGAATGGTGCGGCAAACTGATGCAAGCACGCAGCTGCAAAACCACACACTTCCCGAGAACCTCGAATGGCATCACGGACGACAGTGACAGCCCATGACGCCGCCGAGCGCAGCATGCACAGATGACGCAGCCCGCCATTGCACCAGCCATGCCAATGATGATTCCAAGCCTCGACAATGTGTCGCGGGACTAGATGCGGTACGGTACGATCACAGACTTCACGCTCTACACTTGCAGACTGCCGGCGCTGCTCCTACTGCAACCGTCTAGTCCTCCTACCGAATGTCCTCATCCTAGCTACCACGACTGCCACAACGACATCTCGCACGACCAGTCATTGTCTTCTGCTTCCCCCTCCTACTGCATCTCCCGCTGCTCACTACTTCTGCATCCTCTTCCTCACCCCTTCTTTTACTGCTCTTTGATTATGCCACCACCACCACCACCACCACCACCACCAGCACCACTGCCACCGCCCGGGCAGCCATCCTCCCGTGATTGAGTGGGAGGAAGATGCCACGAGAATACGGTAAAGTCTACCTAGCACTTGGAGAAGCGAGAAAGCACAAGCAATTCCCAAACCCCTGAACCCCTGAACCAAACCTTGTACTTGGAGGATCATGGGACTTGGTAAGTAAGGTTATAAGTACCTTAATTGGTGTTATAAGTATAACTTGGAGGATCATGGGACTTGGTAAGTAAGGCTATAAGTACCTTAGTTGATGTTATAAGTATAGCTACCCTAATTTTGATCCTAGTTACTAAGTCCCATCATCCTTTAAGTACTCGGCCCTGAAACAGCTTCGGCCGAGAGGCGCAAGGATCAAGGACTCATCAGCCTCAGCTCTCACAGCCTCTCGCTGCTGCCGCGGCCATACCGCGCACAAGCACTCTGGATGCAGCAACCCAGACCCCCGCGAGGATCCAAAAGTAGATCCCTTAATGGGGGTTCCTACACAGTAACCTTAGTAGCATAGGGCCCCCAACTAGCGGGACCTACTTTCTAGATCCTCCCGGAGGTCTGGGAACTTGTATGAAAGTGACACCACTAACATCACCACCGGCAACACGAACGTCATCATCTATGTCGTCGACGTGAACCCACGCTCAAACCCCGCTGCTGCGTCCGAATCACACCTCCCTCGGCAGCCCTCGTCGTCGAGACCTGAATCGGCTCCGCGATTTAGGTTTCAGGGTTCCTTACTTTATTTTCGCTACAAATACCTGCTCTAATTAATCATTATGGCGGCTATCTCAAAATGAAGACGAGTGGGCGGCACCATCAATCGTTCGGACTTCCTTGCTCGACTTCCCTGCTGTAGGTGTTCGGAGTTTAGAGGCGGTTTAGGAATTGAGGGTTCCAAGTTTTCGGGCAGTGCGGCTTTGTCATTTTATGATTTAAGCTTTGGTTTTACGTCTATGTTTTTGGGTGTTGAGGGTGTGCGGTTTATGGTTTTAGCTTTCAGGGGGTTCGGTTTTCCCGTCACGGTCGAAAGACTACTGGCGGGGGGAGAAAGGACACCATGAGGCAAGATATTTAGGGTTTGATATAGGGAACTTAGGTTCGTATGAGGTTTCAGGGTTTTCTTCCAGTATAATCATACTAAGGACTAGTATTGGTAGCTATGCCGCCCCTTAGGGAACTGAAGAGTCAGGGTGGAGGGCTCGTCCAGAAGCTGCGCATCACCGAAACTGAAGAACTTCAAAGGCTTAAGGATGAGGGTTCAAGGGTTGAAGTTTAGACTTACGGTTGATGATATAAATCCTGCATTACCATAATGACCCTGAATTATGGGAATTAGGGTATATTCCTTATTATGGGTAATGCAGGATTTGTATCATCAACCGTGGGACCCACAGGGTCCAAACTTACCCCTTACACCAGGAATCATCACTACCACAAATCTTCAGGAATACTTGCCTAAGTACGAGCATCCTGGGCTTTCAGGATAAGACGTGCACACCCGTCCCCCGAAAAAGAACTAACCCGAAGACCTAAAGCCTTAACCCTACTTGGAGGATCATGGGACTTGGTAAGTAAGGTTATAAGTACCTTAATTGGGGCTATACGTATAGTTACCCCAATTATAACCCTAGTTACTAAGTCCTATGATCCTTTAAGTAACCTGGGATGCCGCCGGGAGTCGTCCTCAGGGAGGGCAAGGGCTGTCTGCTGGGTGACGATGCTGACCCCGGCCTCTCAGAAAGCATCCCAAACAAGGCGTCTAGGGTTTAGGGTTTAGGGTTTTTTGTTTAGGGGCTTGAGGCCTATGCAAGAAAGGCAGTGGCAGGGAGGTGCTAAAGAGGCACTACTTGGCTTAAGAGGCATTCCATGATGCTTCTCTCGAAGGATGTTCCCTAAACCCTAAACCCTATTCCGTAGCCATCCGCTCCTTCCTGCGGCTTCCGCGGGCTCAGTGTGTCTCTGGGTTGCCAAAAGTACTTAAAGGATCATGGGACTTAGTAACTAAGGTTCCTTAAAGGGTTCCTTAAATGGGATCTATAAGGATTCTTTAAATGTATCTATGGGGTTTAGGGTTTAGGGTCTACTTAAAGGATCATGGGACTTAGTAACTAGGGTAAGAATTAGGGTAACTATACTTTTAACCCCAATTAAGGTACTTTATATCCTTACTGACTAAGTCCCATGATCCTCCAAGTACGTATCCATACTTCCATGGCCTCCTGATATCATACGGAACAGCCTTTCAGCAGGAAAAGCAGAGTTCGATCCTGCTCACCTGCAACCAGGAAGCTTTCAAGAAAGCAGGAGACTGAAACCGATGTCAATTGATGGAAACCCCCTTTCAAGGCATTTGAAACCTGAACTCCGCGTCGCCAACCCCAAAAAAATGCCAAGTCTCGAGAGAGAGAAACCTCGCAAAGCCCTGGAGCTGCTAGCCCCAAAAACCTGAATCGAAAGCATAGTATATAGCATCATATCGTGTAATAGCCTGTTATACTATAATACACTATTTACAACCCATCAGACAAGAAGCCTACCGCCGTGCCTGTGCGTCTACATCACCCACACCCCTCAGCGCAGCTTGGGCATCAGTGCCGTTCTGCAAGACCTCATCAGAAGCGGTGCGGAAGTGACTAGGTTCAGGAAGAAGACTCATCAGAAGTCTCAGTGGTAGACATGCGATTGTTCTGAAGTTGTTACCACTTGGGAGATCCTTGCATTCACACCCTTCGACCAAAATAAGGCAGGGAAACCAGTTTAGAGCTAATGCCAGAAAAGTGCCTCAGGCCGACGATGTTACGCGGAGTTCAGGTTGATTAGGGTGTCTGGGTTAAGGGCTGCAAAGTCCTCGTCTAGAAAACAACGAGGGAGTTAAACTCTAAAGCCTATGCATTGCTAGGTAAACATGAAGTTGACTGTTGCGTTCAGGGTTTTGCCTTCAGGACTTAAAGTTTCACGCCTGAGGCTTCGAAATTGCAGAGTTCGGCGCAATGCTATATTAGGATCCCCTATTTGCAAAAACTCCCACTTGATTACCTGCCCCACGACCACCCACTCACGACACTCCGGAAGTACTAAGCGCAACTTAGCAGTAGCAGCTGCTCCAGCTACTTGCATCTGCCCCAAACTTTAAACCCTCCAACTAAATCCGAAGCGATGCTTGGACATGCCCACACTAATTGGAGGATTAGGGGACTTCGGAAGTACGGTCATATGTAAGGTAACACTACAAAAATGTATAAATGAATCAGTAAATGAGCCAGATAGATAGATAGATAGATAGATAGATAGCTAAACAGACAGCTAGGTATTTTGGACGATAAGTAGGTGAGATCCACAGCTAGCCTAATCCATCAAGGCCGTAGCATGTGCGCCGGTAGTGATTATACTGTTTTCTAGACTTTAGCCATACAAGAACTTTCAGCGGATTGTCGTAGTAATTATTAAGTCCCCTATCTTATCACCATAAGCCTCCGAAACTTCCCAAACTCAAAACCTTCAATCCCAAATGGCAATGCTACAGGTACCTGAACTGGAGTAAAAATGTAATGCTTTAACATGCCTACCTGACTTTTGATTGCTGGATCCCCTGATCCTTCAACTTTGCGATTGAATTAACAGGACTGAGCCAGGACTCTGCCACTCTCAGCCTCAGCGCGAAGTCGCTTGGATCCGCCGTCCCTGTGCAGATGCTGTGGACGTTTAGGAGTCTTTAAGGTTCAAGGTTAAGGGTTCAGGGTTTAGGGTTTAGGGTTTAGGGTTCAGGGTTTAGGGTTTAGGGTTTAGGGTTTAGGGTTTAGGGTTTAGGGTTGAGGGTATATAAGGCAAGGGGTTGGGTTGAGTTCAGGGCTTGGGATTACGGTTTGGGTCGGTTGGTGAGATGAGCAATCACTGAGGCTATACGGGTAGATTGGCCATTGAACGGGGAATTTCAGGTCTTGGTCACAGAGTTTTTATGCCATTAGCAATCCTTGTCAAAAACCGTAATGGTAGGTTCTCTCTGAAACCACCGTGCTGTGCATGTTGCAGGGAGAGCCTAACCTCAGACGGAAAGCATCTTGAAAACAGTGGCACACCTTTACCCGATCCGGCCTTGATCAGCATTCAGGGATCCTGCCGATTTGCATAAGTGCGTACGACTTCGGGTATTTCGACAGGGCTGCGAGAGAAAGGGCTGTGGAGGGGATCAAGAAATGCTCGAGTCATCACTGCCGTAATGAGGAGAGTCGCAGCACACCCTACAAGAAAGTGCTGACACCTCGCCCTGTCTTCTTCCCCGGGGCATGACAATGAGGGGTGTTCGAAGCCCCCGCGCCGCAAGTCCCCCCCCCAATGTTTATCGGGGGCTTTGGAGGAGTGTTCTCTCTCTCTCTCTCTCTTCCGGGTACGAGGCAGGGGCAGCATCCAGGACCCCGCCCCGTGCGGTCCGCACACCCGCTTCGCTTGGCGGGAGCGAATTCCCTCCGGGTATAGCACCGCAAAGGGCTTGGCTGTACTCAGACAAAAGATCATCCCCCGCCGGTTTTCGGGCAAGTGGGACCGGTTTGGAGTCGATTGACCCCACATGCAACACGGGCTGCAGCTGTTCCCCCAACCACTACCAGCAAAACAGTAAACTGCAAAAGTCCTTGGGCAACCTGCATTCCCCAATTTGACTCACTCTCTCTCTCTCTCTCTCCCTCCATCCCGTAGATCAGCAAGACCACCACCGCTTCTAACACGGAGTGGTCGCGGTAGCAGCCGTTGTCGTCGTCACAGCAGACAGCACAGTACCATGAGCAGAAGCAGTAGCAGCAGTAGCACCACCACCGGCACAGTAGGAGCAGTATCGCCCTCACCATTAGAGGAAGAGTGCTGAGTGTGCCGTCATGACCCACAGATGGTCCTTCACCCGAGATTTTGAACCTTGGCAACACATGCACTTGCAAGCAAAGTACATCAGCATGGGATGCTTTCTGTCTTGTACGCATTGAGGTGTCAAGGGCTCTGATTGAAGGCTGAATTAATTGGACGGCGAACAAGACCCTTCTGCCGAGAAACGTGAGCACTTTGTCGATCAAGGTGATGCTCGTCTCCATCCTTAAGCATGCCAAGTAGCGCCCCCGCATGCTTATGTGGAGCCCCAAACCCAGAGAAGATAATCCAAAGCCAGCCGTCCCGGGCACAAAAAATAAAAGCAATACCACACGCGGGAACGATAGTCCGAGATCGCTGAACGAGCCCCTCGTCCCCACCAAGCACTGACATAGAAGGGCCACTCCTCATGCAATATACGTGTATATACAGATAGGTTAGATTAGATGAGACGATCCATTAGATTAGATTAGATAGATAACAGATAGATAGGTATAGATATGCACAACATGTTGTATATGCATATTTACTGTTATATACAGAGATGTGCTAGATAACATATGCATCCAAGTATCCAGCTGGGGATCTGGACAGCGAACTGGAGTAGCAGAGAGGCCTCTGCCAGCGAGTTCGCGGCAGAAGTGTGTAGCCTCGTTGGTTTTGGGACTTCAGGCTTCATAGCCAAATTTCGATCTCGCAGTGGTGAAAATCCAACCCATGACTCTCCTGCGCCGCGCTCAACCAGAGGCAGAAAGAATGCACAATGTCCGTTTTGTCCAACCGCTCGCGCAAATTATCTCAAAATTTCGGAGTCAGCAGACTCTCTCTTCCAGCGCGTGACCTGCCGAGAATCATCACAACCTTGTAGAGTCGGCAGTGTCGCAACTTCCAAACACTTGAACCCGACGCCCTCACCTTTGCGAGGCGGCAATTCACATGAAAATCTACACCCTTGGACAAGACAGTTCACATGTCCAAGTATCCCTGTAAGTATTCACGTGGGCCTGAAATACCATAGCATCATTGGAACCCAAGGTACATGCCTGAATTAGACCTCGAGATATCTGCAGAAGGCAAACAGACATACGCACGATATATGGGATACAAGGACATCGCAGGAAAATGTCACCACTCAGCTCGTCCTGAACTGATCGTTGGACGGGGCCTGCGGTATGACTTGAAGCCACAACTCCCCTGCAATCCTTGGGATCCCTCCGGGGTCGCGGCGAAAACTCGCCTGCAAAATCACAGGCCTAGCATTCAGGGACTGGGGCGTTTGAGTGCTCAACTCGACGGCCGACGTTTGGAGCGGACACCTTGATCGCAGGAAGGCACCGCCAGAAGAAGAGGGTGAGCAAGGCCATGGCAGACAGGATGACGATCGCATACACTGGGCTCTCTTCACGGCCGCCCAGGAGGTCGGCGGTGATCGCTTCGAGCACGACAAACACACCTGCAAGGAAGCCCCCTACCGTCACGAGCGCCAGGGAGAGGAGCGCCTGCACAAACCTCCTTTCGCCTACGTGGCGTGCTGCATAGGCCAATCTGATTACAATCAAAGCTATGATGGGCAGCAGCATGAAGTTAAAGAGGATGATGTTGTAGACCATGTGCAGCACCTCCATTGGAGTTGGAATGCCTGGGACTTTATCTACGCTGTCGCTATCACGCTTGAAATTGTCGCACCAAACATCAAGTATGGCCCAACCAGCAGGTGCTGTGATCTGAACGATGCGCCAGTACGAAAAGACGTGATTTGCAAGCTGATGGACCAGAACTTGCAGAACCTGATCTCGCACCATAGACTCGAACTTCTCTTGAGATCCAAACCAAGCGGAAATGCACCGAAGAATTATTCTCCGGTCGCACAACATCTCTCCACCATCGGCATCGACGTGACCGCAAGAACAGCAAGCGGACTTGGACTGCGCAATGGTGAAATCTCGGACCTGATGTTGCATCACCTCGATGCTCCGGCAGTGCGCGAGAATCATGTTTGCCAGATGCACCAAGCAGGGGATCGCGAGGCCAGAGAGGACAAGGCCACCCCACGGAAAAAGCGGAATCTGGGAGATGAGGAAGACCAGCAACAGCACACTGAAGCCCAAATGACCTGCCAAAAAAGCCGGCCCGACGAAAACCGGGCAGACCTGAAGGCACTTCGCTGCCTTGGCCTTCGGCCCCTTGCTGTGAAGAAACGCTCCGAGCTCGAAGACGCACCACAACCTCGAGGGGGGCTGGGGCTGCAAACACACCGCGCGCTTCGTCTCTGTCGTTTCTAAACTGCCGCTGAACCCCGAGGCGAAGCACCCTTTTCCAAAAAAACGAGGGTTTACTTAAAGGATCATGGGACTTAGTAGCTATGGTTATAATTAGGGTAACTATACTTATAACCCCAATTTATTAAGGTACTTATAACCTTACTTACTAAGTCCCATGACCCTCCAAGTAGGGTTTAGGGTACCCGGGAGCCCCGAGACATTGACTTTGGAGAAGAAAGCAACCTTGTGACGTAGGAAGCATCCCAGAGAACCAGGAGCGACTGCGACTCCTTCAGGAAGGCGCCCATGCTGACAAGAGCCTCCAGCTTCATTCGGTCATCCGTCTGGTTTATGCAGGCGATATCAAGAAATGCCATCTTCCTTGACCTCCAGAGCAGCAAGGTCAGATAGTAGCCGAAAATCCCAGCAGGTGTGCACCAGATGTATCCCGTTTCGTCACCTGCCCAAACCGGCAAAAGCCCCGTGAAGCTCAAGAAGAACGCCAGAAGAGCGAAGATCGTGCCAACGACGAAGGCTGGGAAGCTGTTGTTCAAGAACAAAATGTTGATATACTTCAACCACGCCTTCGTGCGCCAGCTATGGGACCAGAACTCATGAAACTGCGACGTAGTACGAGTCAGGGCATGAATCTTGTCAAACTCTTTGCGCGCCCACTTTAGAGGCGCCTGCTGTAAGGCTCGATACACTGGGATCCCTCGCTGCACATGGGGGCTGGTAATCTGCATCCGCGTCAGGGTTTGGATCCAGCTCTCGAAGACAGGGTTGGGGTCCGACCCATTCGATATCGAGTCCGCGGAGCCCTCGGACAATGATTCACCATCTCTTTGAGGCAACACGTGGCCATCTTCGCCATCTTCCATGAAATCGACCCTTTTGGGCCAGGATTCCGTTTGGAACCCCACCTACAGGCGTTTGCCAAGGTACCCGCACGAAAGCCTTGCGTGAGTCTGAGCTATGGAACCCAGGGGTATTTCGAGGTGCTGTGTTGGAGCCAGCTGGCAGGCTCGAGGTCTATCGGCAGCGGAACAGAAGAATCCTCAGTTCACAAAAGCCCTCAATGCTCAATGCTGTAAGACGATGCCAATCGAATGTTTCGGGGATAGGGTGGGGTCCAGGCCGGCTTAAAACCCAAGGCCCGAATCCCTCGGCGACTTTCCTTTATGGCACGATTCAACACACCCATGGCTTGCAATAACTGCACAGTCAATGATCGCGGCTTAGTGAACCCATACTTGTGATTATAAGAAGAGAAACTGCAGAGTGATGAGATCAGAACAACAACAGAATAGCAATGACAACAACAAACCCTGCTCCGACACTGATCTCAAAATCCGAAGCCGGCCCCACCTCAACATCCTGCAACCTCAACCCGTACAGAAACTGTAGGATCCTTTGAAGTCCTACACAGCCACCAGACAAGCTATAAAAATTGTAGGAATCCAACAAACTCGGATCAAGCCCCAGCCGGGCCCTGGACGTGCGGAAGGTGACGATCCTAAGATCCCAAGTGTTTTGAGTCGACTTGGGATGCTTTACAAGGGTGTATACTGCTACTATAGGGGCCTTGATGGCTAGAATGAGGTCTTGGGTAGATTCTAACGGTTCTAGTGTACTTACTTACACACACACACACTGCACAAAGGCATATCGGCACTCATGATTCAACTCTCTACGTTGGGAGTTCGGGCTATCTTTCCTGAAGGCAATTATGGTGCCGCTGGTTCTAAGCTCAGGGAGGTCGCTGCAGGTTTGGGCTTCAGTGTTGGAGCTTGCGGGGAATGTGATTGGGGTTCAGGGTTCGGAGAGTAGGGATTGTTGAGGGTTGGACATCCTGGGCTTAGGGGCTTGGAGGTATGAGTTTGCAATCTCAAGGTTTGGGGGTTTTGGGGCATGGTGGCTTGAAGCTTTCGGAACCAGAAACGTGACACTCCAAACTCTCGAAGAGATGGAAACGCCAAGCCGACTAGGCCCTTACATACATTCCAAACCCTGGGCACGACACTCTGAACCCTTTTCCCAGACCCCTGCAAGGATCTAAGAAACAGAACCTTGCAAAGATGCATCCCACCATTCTATCATATGGGTTTCGAGAGAGCCTTGCCCGATAACCTGAGCTTTCAAGTGCGAAATCCCCCACGTCTCACCCCCTGAACATCCCCAGACCCTAAACCCCTCAGAAACAAAAAAAAGCATCTTGGTCCTGCCATCCTCAGCCGAGCTGCACCCAAGACTCTTTCTCGACAACCACCGCTGCCGTCTGGAGCCTGCAGTCACGGTTTCGCCCTCCTCGAAACTGACGTTGGGTTACAGGGTGTAGGGTTTGGAGTTTAGGGTGTTCTAGAAAATCCTGTTTGATTAAACCCTAAACCCCAAACCCTAAGTCCTTTTTGAAGGAGGGTGCCATGTCAAAAACGGTTTTACACGGGTATATCCGCGAAGCGGAGCTCCAAATCCCGAATTGCGTAGAGCTCACTATGTCTCGCAGAACCGACTCTGGCAGAAATCCCGAAACGCTGAGTTTCAAACCCCTTTGCGAGCCTCCGTGCAGTCTGCTGCGTTCCGCCCGGGCCCTGGCGAAAGTTGGACGATGGTCACTCTGAAAGGCTTCTAAAGGCTTCTACAAGGTCTGTATAGGGGGTTCAGCTTTTGGGCAAGGTTCAGCTTTCGGGAGTGAGGGTCTGGGGGTTCGGGTTTGGCTAGAAACTTAAGCTTAACCATTGTCAATAACGTCACTGGGCTGGCAAGGAGATGCTGAGTGCCGATACGATCACCCCAAAAACCCCCTGTTCTAAACATCAAAGCCCCTGGGTCAAGCCCTGCAACACCCCGTAAAGCCACATCAAACCCTTACAATCATTACAAACCTGTGTCCAACCCCATACTTGGAGGTTCATGGGTAGTTATAAGTGGGGTTATAAGATAACCCATATGAGGGGACTTATAGCCCCACTTAAAACTACCCATGAACCTCCAAGTAGACCGTTGAAAGGCCTACCACTGCGAGCCTGGCAGGACTGCCACACCGGGACAAAGGCACCAGAGGGGCCTTAGGATAAGCACTACTGGGAGGTTCAGGGGCAGTTATAAGTGCGGGTTTAAGGTTCCATTAAGGGACCCTTTGAAGGGATCCATAGGGATTCTATAAGGGTATAGGGTTTAGGGCCTACTTGGAGGTTCACTGGCAGTGATAAGTGGCGTTATAGGTCCCTTAAGATGGGTTGTAATTATGGTTACCCTACTTTTCTACCCCACTTATAACTACCCATGAACCTCCAAGTCCTGGTTCCTTTAAGGGTTGCTACAAAGGTCCTGGTGTAGGGGCCCTAACAGTTGCGTTCCAGGTGTGTATACTGGGCTTATAGGATCTTATCTAGCGGCCTCAATATTCACAACGGGGCTCCGAGAGGAAAAATTCAGCATGGTTATGGTGGGACAGAGGAATGAGGGTTTAAGGTTTGGCGAGGCAGGCTTGAGGGCTTGGCAATCGAGGTTTCCAACAGGGTTTAGGGTTTAGGGTTGGGAATCTTGGATGAGTAGTGAGGTTCGTTCGAAGGTTTTTGGTGCGAGGCAACCACTTAAACCCTGTTCCATCGCAAAGACTAAGCCCCACACCCTAAACCCCTACAGTAAACCCCTAAATGCAAAGCCGGAGCTTCAGGCTGGTAGTAGGGGCTTCAGTGATGATGGCTTGGGGTTAGGGCTTTTGGCTTTGAGTTTGGGGTTTAAGCGCTTTTGGTGGATGCTGGAGGTCATAAATTTCGGGCTTAAGCCTTCGGGTCCAGGGTTCGAGGCTTCGGGTGGGGCAAAAGTTGAAATTCGGGCTCAAGCCTTACAGAACCCCTCGAGGACCCTCATAGTAACCTGCATACACACCCAAAACACCAGGAGAGCAAATCGAAGACCCGGAAGGAACCCTTGCATGAATCGCTGAAAGAAAGCAGGGCTCTAAAGTGAACTTTTGCTCCTTCTGGGAAGCCTAAGAAGAGCAAATCGGCGAGATCTTCCAAAGTTCCAAAGGAATCCCGGAAAAAAGGCCCGAATAAAAGAAATCAGAAACCCTAACAAGACACCCAGAAAAGCCCTTTAAAATCCCCTAAAGCCCTTCAGAAACCCCAAAGAACCTTACAAAACCCTTTAAATCCCTACACAAGCCCCATGGAAACCCCCTTTCTTCCGAGAGGCAGAGCTTCGTGCGCTCACCGGGCAAGCACTCAGCCGGAGCCCTGCAGCCTTCGGGGGTTCCCCTAAGGGTTTAGGGTTTAGGGTTTAGGGTTTAGGGTTTAGGGTTTAGGGTTTAGGGTTTAGGGTTTAGGGGCTAAATGCAGAACCCTACTTGGAGGATCATGGGACTTAGTAACTAGGGTTATAATTCGGGTAACTATAACTATACTTATAACCCCAATTAAGGTATAACCTAAATGCAGAAGCCTGGGCTCCGATGTAGTCCTTTTTGGCTGGTTCAGTACGCAGGTATCCTAGCAAGCTGTTTACAAGAAACCCCCACTACGAAACCACATTGGATTCAGGAAACTCATAGAAACTGTTGCCTTATGCCCCAAGGAAGGCCAGGCCCTACTTGGAGGATCATGGGACTTGGTAAGTAAGGTTATAAGTACCTTAATTGGGGTTATAAGTATAGTTACTCTAATTATAATCCCTAAGCTGAAATTAGGGGGTGCTCCTTTAAAGGGATCCTATAAGGGTTCCTTAAAGGGATCTAATAAGGGTTCGATAAAGGGTTTATAGGGTTGAGGGAGTTTACGAAAATTAGGGGTACCTTATTTTGGTGTCCTTACAATAAGGATCCTACTGTTTAGGGTGCTATATTAGAGTCCCATATTTTCGGAAACTCCCAAATGCAGAACCTTATGGGGGAACCTAGATGCATAGGCCCTATACTTTTAAGGGGGGATCCTATAATAGAACCCTATGGCACGCTTTTCGGGGGACCCTATTAAGCCCTATTATAGAACCCTAAGGCACCCGTTTAAGGGGCAACCTATCATAGAAACCTACGGCACGCTTTTCGGGGGACACCCTAAACCCTAAACCCTAAACCCTAAACTCTAAACCCTAAACCCTAAACCCTAAACCCTAAACTCTAAACCCTAAACCCTAAACCCTAAACTCTAAACCCTAAACCCTAAACCCTAAACCCTTATTATAGAGCCTTTACGGGGCCCACTTAAGGGCTTGGGGGAGCTTGGGTTCAGGGGATCAAGGGTTCTCTCAAAAGTTTCCGCGGCTCCTCAGAGGGGACTGCCTCTGAGGCCTCCTTCAAGGCACTCTTTCTAAGGGCTCCCCTCTAAGAAGGGACCTAAATGGGAGTTTCAGATTAGGGGGTGTTCCTTTAAAGGGATCCTATAAAGGGTTCCTTAAAGGGATCTTTAAGGGCTCTTCATGGAGTTTAGGGATTAGGTTGTGTTTCGGATTTGGGTTGAGGGTTAGAAATCGCAAGGGTTTTACAAGACCCAAACGGTTCCAGAGTGGTAGGATACGATAGCAAGTGCTGCTTAGGATACTAGTATCAGCAGACTTTTGAGGGTTTCGAGTTCACTGTTGGGGCTTTGGCTGAAGCAAGATGTTTGGGGTTTAACGTTCGGAAATCGGGCTAAGGGATCGGGGGTAAGATTAATTTGAGCTTTTGGGTTGCAGGCTTTAGGCTCAAGGTGCAGGAACCAAGCTGCTGATCGTCCTGAACGAGAATGTCGGAAGAAGGTGGATCCTGGGCTGGGCCACAACTCTGCAGTGAATGATACAGCCTCTGCTTCAAACTATGGTTGTTTTCATAAGGGTACTCACTTGAACAAAAGCGGGCACCCCGTTCCGTGATGCGATTTGGACCCCAAACCTGGACCCCCTAAGCCCTGAACCCACGGAACCCACAGAACCCCCAACCCCAAACCCCTCGACACCCTCCCCCGAAACCTTGAAAACCAGCTTTCCTGATAGAACCCTTCTTTGACTTCCCCAGAAAATATAACCGTACTACTATGGTTATCATAATAACCATACTAGTAAAGAATACCTAGTAGTAACAAACCCTACAGAGCTCTGTCTTTCATGACTGGCGTCTGAACGCAGGTCCGGTTGCCCCGGAGCTCCTCCTCCAAGGAACACGGCGACGGGCACTGGTTCGCAACCAGTCCTTGGGCGGTGTCTTAGGGGTTTAGGGTTTGGGGTTTAGGGTTCGGCGTTTAGGGTTTGAGGTTTGAGGTTTAGGGATTTGGGCATGATTGGGGGTTCAGGGCTTGCAATCTTCGGGTGCTTACGTGTTGGACGGTGCATGAGGTCTCTGCCATGAGGCTGGTGCTTGAGCTGTACACCTCGTTTCGGGATCTAGGGCTTTGGTAAATGCTAACAATAGATAATTGTAATAATAAAAGAATAGAATAATACATGTTGTTATTAGTAACAACAGTAGTACGAATAGTATTAATCTTATTATTCGGTTTTGGGTCGGAGTCGAGGACTTGGTCCCGACTCCGACGAGGGCTTCCGGGCGCAGCTTATGCTTGAAGCCCCGGCATAAACACGCCAGGCCCAAAGAGAAGCCCTACTGTACGTACCGGACCTACCTAGCTACCTACATGCGTTTCACGATCCCCGCTGGCGAAATAATCACCGACAGAAAGAAAAGCAACAGACGGCAATCATTACTAGGACCATCGCCACAGCAACAGCACCAATGCCGACGATAACGACAACGGTGAGGGAGGCGGTGGTGTTTGTGACGATAACGACAACAGCTACGACGACAACTGTGCAGATGATGATTGATTCTGATGGTGATGATGAAGAGGATGGTACGAATGAGAAGGATGGTAATCGTGATGGTGCGATGATGCGGTGATGGCGGTGATAAGGATGATGACGATGGTGATGATGATGACGACGATGATGTTCTGATTGCAGTGATGGTAATGATGAGGATGATGATGATGGTGATGATGATGATGATGATAAGGACCATGGTTCATGACACTGGCAACGAGGCCGCCTGTTTACAAGTCCAAGCCTCCGCTAAACTTTGGAGTGCAAACCGTCCGGTTGGCATCCTGCACCGCTCGTTCAGGTTTTAGAGCTGCAGGCTTGACGGCCTTATCTTACAGTTTCCGGCATAGGCGTGTTAGTACGAATCTACAAGGGTCAGTATGATGACAAGGGCTGTTGTAATAACGATCACTATAGTGAGGCTTCGTAAGGGTTACGACGTATTCTAACAACGGTTGCTACAACACGGCTCACAACCAGGGTTTTGTGTACGGGCCATGGTCAACAGAAGAGGGCTCGGGGCTTTTGTTGTTGACGGGCTTAAGTATACTAAGGTTACTGACGGCAATGATTGAAACTCCTCATGCCAAATTATGGTTCCACAACGGCTCTATTGGTGTATCATGCGATCATAGTGACGCATTGTTGCAGATACTCCTGCACAGGCACAAGGCCCCTTTACGACAGAGTGGGCCTCCAAGTTCAGGCTTCCGACCTCCGAGCCCCTCAAAGCTGGGCGGTTGCCTAAAGGCCCGAAGCACCCCCGAAACGCTCGAGGCCCCACAGTAAGCCCTGAGTCCCCCAAAACACCCGGAGACTCCAAAACCCCTTAAATCAAGAACATAGCTTAAATCATATTAGGGATCCTGCTATGACTTAGGGTATATTCCGTAATTAAGGGATAGTGGAGTCTCTGGGCCCTAGGCTTCGGGGGGTTGAGGGTTTCTGCAGCTTGGTGACAGGGCGGCTGAATTTACTTCTGCAGGCTCCCAAACCCGTGCCGGCGAGACAAGACTCCCTGAACTCCCGCGCACGGACCAGCAAGACACCCCGAAACCGTAAACCCTAAAACCCTAAAACCTTAAATGTACACATTACCCTAAACCCTATACCCTAAACCCTAAACCCGAAACCCCCCAAAGCCGCTCAGTCCGAAACCAACACCCCTAAATAGCTAAGACCTAAGTCCCCAGGGCCCCAGAACTCCACCCTGCACCGAACACGAAAGCTGCATCGCCAGAAGCCCAAGAAATACAAAGGCAAAAATGCGCAAAGACAAACAAAACATCGAGCCACCGAGGAAACGTGCCTTCGGATCCTGACAGCGCAACCTCGGGCGGTGCTTCGAGGACTTACAGCATCCTACGAGTTGTCGCCTTCTCAAGGGTACTTATGGGCTTGGACCAGATCTTTTTTTGGGGTCTAGCGGTGATGATGTTTAGTGGTTTCGGGCTTCGGGGTAGAGGGTCTGTGGGGTTCCTCTGTATGCCGTTACATCTCACTCTCCATTCTTGTGGTTTCATTCGTCTGTTACACTGAACCGTGTATGTCGTGCTTCATCTTGTTTCATAACCTCTTGCTGTATCATCTTGCTAGTTGCTGTCAGTATGACCGACCTAGCTCCGAAAGAACATTAATAATAATAACAATAATAATAAATAATAATAATAATAATAATAGTAATAATAGTAATAATAGTAATGATAATAATAGTAATAATAGTAATAATAGTAATAATGGATCCGAAGGCTGTCTCCTCCTCTTGCAATGTCGAAAGGCCTTGAAGCTCGGCCGGAGGGCTGAGGGTCGTTACTTAAAGGATCATGGGACTTAGTAACCAGAATTCCTTAAAGGGATCCTTTAAAGGGATCTATAGGGGTTCTATTATAGGATCTACTTAAGGGATCATGGGACTTAGTAGTTATGATTAGGGCAACTATACTTATAAGCCCAATTAAGGTACTTATAACCTTACTTACTAAGTCCCACGATCCTTTAAGTACACTCCAAGCTGTGATAAGACTGGCGCGATGTAGAGAGAAAGCGCACGACGAGTGTGTGCAGTCTTTTGTCCCGCAACCTCGAAAAGGCACGACCCCAGGCATAAACCCGAGACCCCCAATCTAGGCCCGGATCCAAGGAATGCCAAGTCGCGAGTTTTGCCCGCAGGGGCACATTGCATCCGGGCTTGTGCACAGGATGTTTGCGGACTCCGGCACACCTCACTCAACCCCCTCAGGCAAAAATGAATATACCTTGATTCACATCAAGCTTTTCGAAGTACCAGTACTGCTGGTCCTCATCCTTACTGCAGTGACGACGCCGGACACTAGTTCCGTTCGTTTCCGTTCATACTCCTCTTCATCCTACTCCCCCCGCCATTCCTGCTCCTACTCGTCGTCCTGTTGTCGCTTTGTTCTCGAACTTACTGTGGTTGTCGCTGCGTTCACTTGTAAATCTCGGTATCTGTGGCAGCATCGTTGTCGCTCGGATGCTGCAATCACCATGCCCAGGCTTGACAACGTCATTCTTCTCAGTGTTGCTATAGTACAGCTGACATTACTTGTAATGGCTACAGTGGCGGCTTTGTTTCCGGTTACCGCCCCAAGCTTTCTTGCAATCAGATCAAAGTAGTGGCGACAGTAAGGCGGGTCCTAAATGATAAGAGCAGGGTTTCGCACCCTAGCTGCAAGACGCAAATCCCCACGCAGCCAACAGCAGGCCTTCGAGGCTGTAGTCGCTAACCTCGCACGCCTGCACCCATGCGGGATTTTGGTTCAGGACTTCGGAAACGGGGGTCTTCTATTCGACATTTCAATTTGAGGACCTTGCGCCGACGAGTGCGGCAATGTCTACTACAGGAGCCTGACTGACTGATTCCTTCATACTCTCAACACACAAACAGCGGCATCACTTCCGAGCCTTCTGCCAGGCAGCGCAAGGACAAACTTGGTTGACCAGCGACCTGGCGCAGGTGACGCATTATGTTCTGGCATGATATTCAGACTGATCGGAACGATCATGCCGATGATGCGAATGACGACCACACGATGACGTTGATAATGACAACGATGATGCTCATGATGATTAAGAAGAAGCTGTTCATTGTCATGCTAATAACCATGATGATGATGATGATGATGATGGTGATGGGGACGGAGATGGGGATGCTGATACTGACGATGACGATGATCATGATGAGGACAATGATGACGATGATGATGACGATGATGATGATCATGATGATGATGATGATGATGAGGGTGAAACTCGCGATGTCGAAAGTGCATGACTGGTTCCGTCGGCACATGAGAAGCTTGTTTCTTTTGCAAATGCGTTCTCTTAGCCAACTAACCAACCCACCAACAAACTTCAACAAACCCCGTGACCGACCGACCCACCAACCAGTTTGCTGGCTTGCAACATAACAAGATCCAAGAAAACTCCAACCTACACCCGAAGCCGTAAGCCGAGCGACCTGAGAACACAGAGGTCAGAGCCCGGGCATTGCCGAGTGTTTTGCCCACAGGGGCATCGTTGGTCACGGTCGATGCACACATCGCGGTAGCCTCGTAAAGCATGTAGTTTAATCGATTCGCGCTGCTACGATCATCATCTACCGTACCAATGAACTGCTGGTTTCAAGTTGGCCTTGTTTCTGTCGGGACTGCCGGTAGTATCAAGAACAATAATGACAATAATGGCGAGAGAACCGAGCTTAGACTGGAAGACAGTGCGCTGCAACAGCAGCATAAGATCACCACCATAGGGGTCAGGACCAGCCCGCACTTACCAGCGGCTTCCGCATCCGCAAAACCAGCTGCAGAGGCATGGCAAGCGGGTGCGCGACACAGCTGGCAAGCCTCGACCTGACTTTGATGAGCGAAGTCTGAGCCTGACTTTCCAGAATCGAAACTTCGAAATATTGCGCAAGTCCTGAAGAACTAGATCTTAGTTAAAGGATCAATAGACTTACTAAGAAGGGTTCTAAATAAAGTAGCTACAGCTACCAGCACTTGTCGGCCCACTTAGTATGTAAACCCCATCTCTGAACTCTAAAACCCCGAAAACGACCTTGTGCTTCAAGCAGCCTGCAATGGTACCGCTGCTCGTGTAGTCTGCCAGTGTGCAAAGCTTTTGCGAGCTCGTACAAGACGGTGGACAGGGCTGGTCCTCAACGTGAGACGCCGGTTGAATCCCTGCCAGCACATTCTGCTGGCATGCTACCGTAATATACTGACAAGGCTTTACAATACTGACTTTGAGGCTGTACCGCAGCATGTTCTAACAAGGTCCCGCAACGCTCGGCATGGACATCGGAACGAAGCACACAGCTGCAAAAGGCTAAGAGCACAGCGACACGGGGCACTCTATGGGTCCGGGTGGAGCCGCGGGATAGAATCATTCCCGGGGCCCAAAATGGCGAAACTCAAAAAACGTCCCCAATACCCACGGGCGCACAGACACACGTGTCGCAACCTAAATCGAGCATCAATCTCTCCCAAATCGTGGCCAAAACACAGCCCTTGTCCTCGAGGACTCAAGGACCCGAAACCGTCCCGCACCAACACCTGAAGACTCCAACGCTTCTGAATCCTCAAGCTTAGCCCAGAAAACAACTTGACTCTGTTGAACCCTGCCACATCTTGAACTTTAAATCACTGAAAACCCAGCCCTCGCTCCCATCCTTGAAGATACACCCGAGAGCATCGCACCACTTGGCCTGGCCAGGACCAACGAGCTTAGTAAGTAGGTTAGAACGGTGATTCTCAGAAGGTTACTCGGTGTTCTCTTTTGATAACCATACAAAAGAGCTCTCAATAGTCAGTGAGACAAGCCCCTTACAATCCCCGCAGAGGTATGACTTTAAGAGAACCCCACAACCTGGTCCATTACATTATAGACCCAAATCCCCTACAAGAATCTTTATCCTCGTCTCTTTTAGAAGACAGCAATCAAGTTGCAAGCTCTACCACTCTTTGAGGGTCGTAAATTGGGACTTACAAAAAAATCTAGACTGACTGAGTCTCACAGCCTTATAGTAGAGGAATGTTGATCGCTAGAACAGGGTGGGGGGGGCCATTAATGCTCTACCTAAATCTATATTTGCATCTACATCTGGTTATAGCATTTACAGCATAGTACACCCAAAACCCTATTCTAATTACTAAGGCCCCTGGGGGGGGCCTTCAAGCAAATATTAGTACTTGGAGGATCATGGGACTTAGTAAGTAAGGTTATAAGTACCTCAATTGGGGTGATAAGTCTAGTTAGCCTATTTATAACCCTAGTTACTAAGTCCCATGATCCTTTAAGTAGGAATTCTGCCAACCCCTTGAGTCACCCTCGCCAGGCCTCGCGGCCACAGTGGCAGCCCTCGCCTGTGGCACAAGCTCGGGGCGGTGGCGACAGACCTGCACTTTCGGCTTTCGGTGTCGGCTTTCCGGTCTTGGGTTTGTGTTGGGTTTCGAGCATTCAGGTGCGGGTTTCGGGATTTCAGTGTTTCAGCTTTGGTTTTGTGTGGGATGCTGCATTACTTGATAGGATGTTTCCTCGAGAATGCGGAGAAATGATCTCCCGTAAAAGCCCATTCTGATTAATTCCTGTCTATTCACGTTCCCAATTTGACTCCGAGAAAACAATTAAACACTGCGACATGAAACACTGCGAATTCACAACCCGCTCAGCGACAAGACCTAGGAATCAAGTCTGCATCAAGCTTGCTGAAACGGTTTGAAACAGCGGACCGTATGCATCGCCATTGGGCAGGTAGTCGACCACCGCGGGGCACGCCCCGGCTGCACAGGAAGAGCTTGGGCAGAATCCTGCAGCTCCAATTACTAACCCAAATGGGTCCCAAAAATACAACTTTTGGGTGGGATATCCCTATCTTTTTGCTTTGTTGTAGAAGAGGATTCTGGGATATCCCGACCCTATGGCTTTTGTTTAGGTGCTTTTTTGGTTCCCGATCCACTTGAAGAGTCAAGAAGGTCAGACTGGTAATACAACGGTGTGCCCGACGGCTGCACAGTAGAGGCAGCAAGCACAAACATAGAAACAAACCCCACGGCAGCCGAAATTGTATCGAAGAAGTCTCTAGAAACAAGACCCGCAAATGCCCAAAGCACGCAAACATATCCTTGAAGTCTTAAACCTTCAACCACTGACGCCTTCCAAATGAAAAACTAAAACCCCCAAGAGAGGTTTTGAAAAGCCCTAGCACCCAAGGCCCCAAAATACTAAAACCCAGCATCCCTCAAAGCCCTGGGAGGTCCTCCAACCAGCGGCAAGCACTCGGACCCGCTGGTACCGTCCTCGCAGGCGTGACGGTCGCTGACTTAGGGCTGAGGGCTGTGGTAGTCTTTGTACATGTGGGGGATCGGAGGATGAAAATTACTTGGAGGTTCACGGGTATTTGTAAGTGGCGTTATAAATCCCCTAGTATGGCTTAGAATTATGGCTACCCTGCTTAAAACCCACTTAAAACTACCCATGAACCTCCAAGTAGGGTTTTGCATCAGGGCTTCCAAGAGCGAACCAGCGCGGCCAAGCATCGGTGTAGTTACAGTCGAAGGCTCCAGCTCCACAGCCGCACGGCTGCCCCTTCGGCACCTGAGCCACCTAAAAACAGACAGCCCAATCTTAATCGAGGAAGGTATAGGAACACTGGGTTGCAGAGTTTGGATTTGGGGTGTTGGGCTGCGGGTTTGGCAGTTGTTTTTTTTTTTAAGTGCAGTAGCCCCTTTTCCAGCAGAGTTCGAGCTTGCTCAAGATTGAGCATGCACTGTAAAAAGGCCTCTCGTGGTTTGGCAGTTTAGGTTTTGGGCATTGGTTTTGTATGTACGGGGTTGTTCACACAAGCTGTATTGGCTCCACGATCGAAGCGTATACAGTCAACTCAATGAGGCTTCCATCGGCTTCCATCGGCTTCCATACTGATTTCAGGAATCTTTTCCAGGAGTTTAAATTGACTAGGTGTTTCTCTGGGTCTGTAGTCGCGAGCCCCTGTGCAGCGCTTGTGTAATACAGGGCCCTATCAATCAGAATAGGGTTCTGCGGTACAAGATATCTCAAATACCAAGTCACGGAAAGGGGGTCTTACGGAATAGTCAGACCTTTATTTACCCCAAGACAGAACTCCATCTACCTCCGATGAACCCAAGACCAAGGGTTTAGGATTTAGGGTTTCAGGGTTTAGCGCCTAGTGTTTAGGGTTTCGAAAACCCTGGACCCTAAAATCACCATCAACGCCACAAAACTATAGAACTACAACCGACCAAGCCTAATGACCTCACGCCGAGGTGCACAGATCTCCTCGGTCCTGAGAAATTCGCCGGTCGCGCCGAAGCCTCATTCGTTTTAGGATTGAGTCACAGGGTTTTTTTGTTGTGTTTTTTTATGGGCCCTTTCTCCGTCTGCAAATATTAAGGCTCAGGGTTTGAGATTTAGGGTTTAGGGTTAGGGTTTAGGGTAGGATCTTCAAGCTTTGGTGGGGGCTTGGGGTTTTCTGGAGGCTCGTCTTGTGTTTTTTCAACGATTGCCGAGGGATTCTGGAAAAGTGTGAGTCAGCCATTTCTGGAGGCTTCTAGGGGCTCTTGTGGATTTTGGGGTTTACCTTTGGAATTTTTGGAACTATGTTATGGTCTCAGATTTTGGGTTCTGGAGTTTGGAATTGAAATTCAAGACGGGTGGGGGCGCGCTTTGGGCTCTTCATGATCAGGGCTGAAGGAAGGCTGGGAAGTCACGGGCGGTTCGTTGGGCCCGCTGTGGCTGTTTTTGGTATTCGAGTGTAGTGCGGAGGGATTTCTGCAGGGTCGGAATGTGGGGTTCACTCGCCTTTTGAACGGTCGTGAAAGCCTCAAACCCAAACAAACGGTTTCAGGCTTTGGGTCTCGCGCTAAGAAGCCCTGAACCCGAAAACCTCAAAAAAGAAATCCACAAATCCCTCAACCCCAAAGCCTCAACCATAAAGCCTCACAAACATCTGAAAACCGACAGATCCGGGTCGCTTGGCACGCAGCACCTTTGCTCCTCTTCCCCGCACTCCAGGGGACATTCGGACAGCCCTGGGACAAAGAGGGGTACAGGTTAGAAGGGGCCCCTACCCTGTAATAGTTGTATAATAGGGCCCTAATATAATCCTTATAGTCACTATTACAGGGTGGGGGCAGCTTCTCAGGTACAGGTTGCTCGGCAGGCCCTTACAAACACAAATGCCCATGGTCCTACTATTGACTTCAAGCACAGAAAACCAAAACGGCTGTAAGGGTATCACTGGGCGGCTTCAGATTGAAGTCTTGACGCAGCGAGAGAAGCCACTGGACTACTTGCTTCTCTTAGACTCTAATAGCCCTGAACTTTAGTCTAAGGCCTTGTTTACCAGGGCTTAAGGTCATGACCCGTGAAAGAACAATAAATAGGACAAGCTATGGAGGGTCCCATCTCAACTCAAGCTGTGAGCTCCCTCTCAACTCTGAATGGGCCGAAAAATCTGCGAGCTAAGGTACTGCACTTAGGGCTCAGGGCAAGCACCCGAAACCCATAACCCCATTATCATTTAATCCCTAAACCGTTGGGGTGTGAACACAGAATCCTATGGGTTGCTGCCGGGATGCTCTGTGACTCGGCATTCCACCGTGGAAGGCAGTATGTCTCCTAGCACCATCCGAGTTCAGAACCGAGCCCTGGATGATTGTTGAAGGCCTTAGGAGTTGAGGGCTTATCGGGTTATAGGGCTGTAGAGTCCTAGGTTTTTGGGCATGCAAAGCCTTCAAGACTGATCCCTAACACCCCAGAAGCCCCCGAAACCTTAGAAAAAAAGAACTGAGACTAAAATGGTTTAGGGATCAGGGCGACTGGGACTTAGGGTTTAGGACGCACTGTGCATGGTTTGGTGTCTAGGGGTCCCTTTAAGGGTTTCGTTTAAGTGATCTACGGGGGGTATTGTTCTGCAAGGGTTTCCTTTAAGGCATCTTTAGTAAGCGGTTCATGGGTCGTTATGGGGAGCCATAAATCCCCTAATATGGGTGATAATTATAGTTACCCTACTTATAACCCCACTTAAAACTACCCATGAACCTCCAAGTAGGGTTTAGCTCCAGGTCCTGCCCGGCTTTGCACTGAATGGCGTTCTCGCCGCAGGGGCACTCACCGTCGTGTACCAGGCAGAGCTCGCGAGAGCCCTTGACCGCGCCGTTGAGTCTGTAGTCCTGGCCCCAACAGAGGGAGAGAAGCGGAATCGTCAGGCAAAGAAGGCATAAGCAACACATACATGCAAAGATCCACAGATGGGTCAGGGTTAACCAGCATGTGCGTTCGCACACGAAGCTTTCGGGAAATGGATCCGCTCAGTCACATCACGGCATGTTCAGAATAGTCCAAACAATGCAGCCCTGAGGCCGCCAAATTGCAAAGCTTGCCGCTGCAGGTCATCGGACACTCCACGGCCGAAGGCCGGCACTCCGCCCGCTCCTGCCTCCCAGCAGGCTCTGAGGCTTTCGAAGTGCTCCAAAAATGGGATGTCCTATAACAGCTTCTGTAAGGTTCTTAGACGGGAATTTGCCGAACTTTGTACAATTTGGCTTGGGGCTTTAGGGTTCAACAAGCTTGCGGACTCTCGTCGTTTGGGGTTTAGGCACGAAGATTTACACAGCTTCAGGGCCCTCGGGTTTCAGGGCCATGCGTTTGGGGTGTTGGATTTAAGGCGTGCCTTCTGACCTCCGGGAATCGCGCTTTCGACTGAGTTCTTGGCAATCCACATGCTAATACACCTCAGTGTCGCAAGAACCAAGAGTTTATTCGTAGGGCCCAGGAACTGCAATGCAATCCTGGCGAATCTCAAGCACAACATGCCCACCCTGAAACCGCAACCGAAGAAAATTCCCCCGACAGAGACCCAATCAACCTCAACCCTGAAACCTGAGAGGAACGACATGAATGCTATAAGATCCCTGAAAACCCCCAGCACTTTTTCGTTGGGTCTGGGGTGTTCGGAGCTGCTTGCCGGACGAAGCCGGAAACGCTCCCGAGCCCGAAGCCCTAATAGAGGCACCTTAACAATCAGAATAGGGTTTTGGGGTACATTAGACCATAACCATACAAGGACTGTAAGGGAATAGTCTTCGTAGTTATTCAGGCCCCATATTAAACCTAGATTCAAATTACATCTCTGAGCTGTACTTCCCAACACCTCTGAATATCTGCACCGATTTTGCCGAGTCGCCCCTTGCTGTCCTTGGTGCGGCAGCCGTCTCTGCAAGCCAGTTATACTTGAAGGATCGTGGGACTTAGTATCTAGAGTTATAATTAGGGTAACTATACTTATAACCCCAACTAAGGTACCTGTAACCTTACTTACTAAGTCCGATGATCCTCCAAGTACTGGTAGGGTCTAGACTCTAGAATTGACCTGATGCCTGAAACGTGAACACATCCTGCGGATTGTCATGTAAACTTCAGGGCTGCAGGTATGAGGCTCATGTAGCCGTGGCGGTTAGACTAAGTTTCGGGTTACTCAAACATCAGTCCCTGCAGTCGCACGAATGCTCATGAATGCTGTGTAGGTTCCATGGCGGCAGGCTTTACTCTGTCCCTTCCAGGCTTTAGAGGCCCTTAAGGGTTGAAAGGTTTCGGGTCTCCAGTTGCATCCTGGCGGCTGTCCACATGCACATCTGCGCGTTCTGCCCGCATTGGCAGGACCTGAAACAAAGCTTCCAAAGTTCGCCGCACACTTATTGAAGACCGGCGAATGCAGTTGCAACTGACAGTTATCATCCGGAGGGAGACCACGCAACACGCATCTCTCGCCGAAGGGCTGGGATGCGTCGATACAGCCGGCAACCACCGACGCATTGGGTTGGTACATGCCTCCACTGTCGGGACTTAAGGGGCGCGTGGTTAGAGCTTAAGCAAAAGGTCTTGGGGTCGACATGCTTCGGGTTCGGGTCGCAAGGTTTAGGATTGAAGGACCTCGGGTCCCGGCTTCATCGTGGCCTTTACCGAGAACTGTTGAGGGCGTGCTTGGCTGTCACGGCTTGCCTTTTGAAGCTGGCATATCATGCCTCTGTGGACGGCGAGTAGGACAGGAAGCTGCGTGAGCAATTTCACTGACAGGTGACCACCCGAAACCCACAACTTGATATACGCAGATCCGAATACAAAGCAGAAACTCCCTATACAATTACCCTGAAGACACCTCAAGGCTCTAAATGACAGGATAAGGGCTTTGAGTTTGGGACCCGGAACCCCTAAACCCTAAACCCAAAGAACCGGCAACACGCGCACCTTCCGCTGTGTAGGACACCGGGAGGCAGACCTGCAGCACAGAATTTCGGCTCAACCATCGCAATATTACGAATAGCAAGCGGCAGATTGACTGATCATCTGGCAAGTCTTGCAGACTAGACATACTTGTCGACTAAACACCGACCCTCAACCCTGTCGACTAAACACCGACCCTCAACCCTGAAGGAGCCACGATTGGGAGTCAGAGTCAAGAGCAGGGCTCCGAATAGCATTAGACAAGGATCTAACATAAAATGTCCCGAAACTCTCTTCTACGTACCAACGCCCCAAGAAGAAAAAAGTAACACTACGATCCAGGGCTCAGACCTCCAAGGCGCAACCTTGGCTAAAACCCAGACCCCAAACCCCAAACCGCAAACATCCCGCAAAACCTGATAACACACCGTACTGCAAACTCCTACCATGCCCGAAGCTCGAAGTGCAGCTACGCCGACAACGCAAGACCGCAAGACCCAACACCCCCCACCCCCCGCTCGGAGGATTTATTCCGGATTTAGCAGTTTAGGGGCCTATTCCGAGTTTAGCTTTCGTTTCAACGTGAGCTGTAAACGAGCGGACGAGGCATACAAAATGCGTCCCAAGCGTCGCATGCAGGTTTTGAAAGGGAAAGAAACAGTTGAGCTAGACGTTTGCGGCAAGTCTGGATACAAGTAACATGAGCCGAGGAAACAGCACAACGCAGTTTCAATACATACAAACAGGCATACAAATGAACAAAGTATCATCTACATAAGTCTATATATATATATATATATATATATATTTATTTATTTACTTATGTATACATGTGTGTGTCTCCATATGATAATAACAATAACTAATAATAATAATTGGACTAGTAGTAACAATTACAATATTGTAAGTACCCGTTGTAGGAGTAATGATAACAACGCAAATAACCGTAATAACAGCTGAAACAAGGCACTGTAATGAGCCACACTACACTCACAGAAGCGGGGTGGCCTTGCCAGCCTCGCAGGTGCCAGGACAGCCGTCGGCAGCCTGGCTTTGCTGTCAGTGGAGTTTTGGGGCATGTTGCAGTGCAACTATATAGTGAGTACAGGGGGGTTATCCTTTCCAAGTATTCAGACCTCGAGATTGCGAATTTGTCAGGGCTTGCGGTCTGGTGTCGGGGTCCATTGCTTTGTGACTCTTAGTCTGCGGCTCCTTTTTCTTTTTGGCTGCTCTCGCCGATCCTTTCCCTGAACAAGCTTGATCCACGCCCGGTCCAGACAAACCCGTCGAAAAAAAATAATCCCTAAACCCTAGACCCATCATGTATCGTCGCCCAGGGGCCGGCACACAGAATTCCCCACAACTCCAGGCATTCTGACCGCAAGGGCAGGGATCAGAGGCCGGCACGCCTGGGGCTTGCAAAAGATGTAGCATGAGCTACGTCAATTAGAATAAGGCTTTGGAGTGCATCATACTAGAAATAAGTATATAAAGGCTACGAAGGATTGGTACCACTAATTCTTCCGACATCTTCCGACCGCAATAGTAACTCCTTTATATTAAAAGCCATTTGGTTTTGCGTGGGGCCTGCGGCTTTGCCGCGTGGGCTTACAGGGCATGCATGCATACATAGATACATAGGTACATGTGTAATACATATATAAAAAAAAATATATATATATATATATACACATATATATATATAAACATACACACAAAAGTATCTCTCTCATCAAGTCTAGTAATTAACAAGCAAGCTGTAAAAGCAATAAGAGATCAGCCCTAGACCCCACCAGCACAAGGCAATTTCAGACAGAAGGACTCCGCAATATCGGCCATAAATGATAAACTCCGCTTCATAAGCTCCTGAATCTACGAAGTCGTCACATCCAGCCAAGAGGCACAGCATGGAGGTCACGAGCACCCGGCCATGTATATCCATGTTCTCCTGAGCAGGGTTTAGGGGGCGCAGGGACATGGGATGAAGACCGCCAAGCAGAACATGCTGACGAATACTGCCACCAAAACCGATGTCCCTGCTCCGGCTCCTTAATCATCCTGCCCCTCGGCCAGAATCCTAAGCCAGAACCGATGATATCTCCCTTCTTTACATGACCAGCCAAGGCTCCACCGAACAGAGCTGCTCCCCTTCTGCACAGGTCTTCGGGCAGCTGTCTAGGAAGTCAATGCAGAACTCCTGGTTGCCGGCACCAGGACACCTCACAGCGTAGCTGGGTTTATGGTTTAGGGTTTGATTTGCAGCGAAGCACGCATAATTACGTTCTTGGGACTTCTAGGCCTTGGCTACGCACAAATGCACCTTCGGCAATCACTGCAAAGAGACAAACCCCAAACCCTTGAACCACAAACACCAAAACCAAAAAAGAACCCAAACACCCGAAGCGCTTAAAGCTCTAAACCATTACAAGCCCCAAGCCACACCCTGTCCACTAATGTCAGCGAAAGTACTTCTGTGCCGTGCTGTTGTCGCAGAGAACGGGGCAAGAGCCAGCCACCGGCTGCACACAAGTCTCTGCACGGTGCCTCTGTCAGGGCGCAATGTAAACACCTGATTATTGAATCCCATTTCCTAAAGGCCCTTCATCTTCGGATCCCTGCCATCCTCCCTATGAAACGGAGCGGGTTTATTCATCAGGGCTCTACATGATCGGTCGAGGAGACAACCTTCGGTCACAACCCGACACCTAAAACTCTAACGCCACAAAGAATGCCAAGCAAAACGCACCTATGCCTGCAAGCCTGATAATGTTCACCCGCATGTCCGTGCATTCATAGTAGGATGATCATCATTACCATCATCAGAATGCACCGAGTGATAGTCTTAGTTGCTGAGTTCATAACCCCCCAACAAGTGCACACTTTCAGCCCCCAAGAGGTGCACACTTTCGGTTCTAGAGGGGGAAAATTACCCCAAAAGTGCAAAGTGTACTCACTCAGCTACTAAGTAGCACAAAAAGCCCAAATTTAATAGCGATACTGGAATCAACAAGAACGAGGGGAAAGCCGAATATATTAAATAGCAGCTCAGACCGCAACCGTTCTTATGATTACAAAGGAAAGATGTGATGCAATAACAAAGATGTTGATCATTACTCTCCTCCTTCTTTCCACTACTGTGTGTACCAGGAAGACTCATCAGACTGCCAACATCAACACTTCCCCAGTCAGACTACAAATATCAGCGTTTCCCTGAACCCTAAACCCAACAATCCCGAATGATACGCTGTCGGAACTCTATACAACCCGTCGAAGCCCCAGTCTCTAAACCCCTCTACGACCCCAAGACCCTTTAGGTGAAATCGCTTCAAGGTGACGGCATGCCGTTTTGGAAGGAGATCACCGGGCAGATCTCGAGGCCAGGACTGCAGGCACCGGGGCAAGCGCTGTACCACTCCTTGCTTGGAGGTTCCATGGGTAGTTATTAAGCAGGGTCCCTTTAAAAGGACCTATAGGGATTCTATAAGGGTATAGGGTTTAGGGCCTACTTGGAAGCCCAAGACACCTTACGTAGAGGGAAGGGTTTAGGGTTTAGGGATGCTCTAGTTGCAGGATTCAGGGTTCAGGTTTCGGTTCACCACGACACCATGTAAAGAAAGAGCAAGGTTCTACTTCAAAAGTGATCTTCGCTTCAAAACATGCGAGAATGCTGTAAGTAAAAGGGTTCAGGGCGTGTAGGCTAGAGCTTAGAATTGAAGGCTTATGGTTTCGAATTAGCGACGCAATGTTTTCCATGTCGCCGGGGCTTCCGGTGCATCATAAAACAATTATGTATAGGGCTTCCGGTGCATCATATAGAAAACTGTATTTACATATATGTATACTGAAACAGAGACTCCAAACCTCAAACTTAAACCTTAAAGGTGAACCCTGAGCAAACCACAAGCTCGGAACCTGAACCAACGGTCTGACTGCAGATCCCAAATCCATGAACCCCGTTTTGCATGGGTATGTCTAAGAGGGGGATGCGAACGCGAAGGCACGACACTACATCTCCATTCCTCAATGCTCAGGCCAGCTTAGGCTTTAGGGTTCTGAGATCGGGTTGGGGTTTCGAGCCGGAGTTAAAGCTTAAGGATCTGGGTTCGTTTTCTTGTTTAGGTGTCAGGGTTGTCCCTTAGATACGAAAGACAGGGACCTCCTCAGTCCTAAACCAGAACACCTACAAAAATGAGGATCAGTCCATGCATTATTTGGGACCTTTGTACCGCCCTAGACCCCTGAACCCCAAAAGTTCAGGACCCTTACAGAATCCTTCCAAAGCCGGTTGCTGTGGCTCCAACCAAGCCTGAGGAATGCTGCCCAGTCACTCGAGCGAAGCATTCCGTAACTCCGGTATCCTGACCGCATCTAAGGCGAATGAGCAGGTACGGTTCCCATAGGGTTCGAAAAAGGTTCCTATGGGGTTCCTACCTGCTCTTGCTTGGGGCTTACAGAGTTCCGGCTTGGGGTTGGGGTTTTCGGTGAAGGGCTTCGAAAGTCCACGGCATGTACGCCAGCAAAACCCCTAAACCCTAAACCCCTAAACCCTAAACCCCTAAACCCGTAGACCCTAAGCCGTAGAGCGTTTGAAGGCTCCTGGCCTTT